CCTTTATTATTGAATAGGTCGCTAACCAAACTTTTTAATTAGGTTTAACATGTTGCTTTAATAATAGGTTTCTAAAAAAGTATCGTGTCCCACTCAGAATAGTAGATTTATTAAAGTTGATCGTGAGCATAACCAACCTCCTGAATTATAGTTAGTATTTTCTGTGGAGTAAAGTAAAACTCGATATTTTGGAATTCACCAAGCTTAAACCAACCGAGGAGCGCGCTACGATCATGGCGCGGGCAATTATTATAGTATGCTATCTAGAGTAGCAAACGAACTTAAAGACACAGGATACATAGAAGCACCAGTCTCATGGATGATCCTAGTAAAACCAGCGTAAGCATTCTCATTCTTCCTTAGTTCGGAAGTATGATAAAACCTCGCACATGTGATGCAGTTAGTAGCTAATTTTTTATTTAGAGGTCTTCTTTTAGAACCTAGCGTCGCCACTTTAAAGTAGTTTCATTGGTATTAAGAAATATAGACACTATGAAGACATTTATCAAGGACAAGGCAACCAAAGTCATGATTCTCTAAATTTAAGCCTTCCTTTTACAAGGAGATCACGAGGAAAGATCAAGATATAAGGTCGAGCTCAAGATAAGTATACACGGCAAGATACAAGATATCTCAAGCTTCGTTTAAATTTATGCTAAAGCCAAGTGATAAAAAGATGTTATTCCCTAGAGTAAAATCAATCACTAGAGACCTGTTTAAAAAAGAGTTGTATTAAATATAATACAATAGCACTCAATTCAACACTACTTATGAAACTAATTATAAGTAACTTTAAGAATGCTATCTCATAAGAACGATTTTACATCGATAGAACAACCCTAAACAACCCTACACTAAATGAACATTATCCATCAAATATTTTAAATATTATAAAGGACCTTAAGATGATCTCGCTGACAATTTTGATATTACTCTTCAAAGGCAAGGTAGTATTAGATGGCGAGGTTTAAATATCCGACTTTTAAAGATCGAAAAAGAGAGTTGCGTGGGTGGGGATGACCCCCGGCCTTGAGTAGGCAAGTCAAGACTCCTAACCGCTGAGCTACGGCAACAACTCTCGATCCTTGTAGGATGGTTTTACGTATTTAACCTGTTAAGTAGAGTATTTCATAGGTTTAAAGACAACACCCTGTTCTAAAGTTGATTTATATTCTCTCTACGGTGTTTTTGCTCCGATCTCGATTTAGCGTATGTACTATCAAAAGTACCGCGTTCTATTCAACGTTTATTTCACTCCTAGACGCCCATCCGACCCGAATCCTATTTATTTAAATACAAGACTAGTCAAGGAGACTAAAGGCATCTCAAAGCGATGCGGGTAGTAAAAAGTTGTTTTCTGAGCTTAAGCCAATTAATCTTGCATATCAGTTGCTGATTATTCAACCAACCAACAATAATATAACTATTAGAACTGCCAACCTTGGCTATAACCTAGTCTTATATCATCTTACACCAAAGTTCTGATTACTGAACCTCCGTAAAAAGTATACGAACCACTGTTACTTATTCTAGTAACTGTAACGACTTAGGCTTATACCTTGATGTCAAAAACGACCCCTTTGTCCCAAGCATGCCAAAAAGTAGAGGCTAGTTTACAATGACACAGGTAAAATTGTATTCAAGTTGTAGCGGGTTTGATAAGATTTCATTAGTTTTTTTATTGCTAACTCTAGTTGGAAGATCATACTTTACTCGGTCGTTAAGCAGATTGGGAGGAAACAATTCATAGTTGAGATGGAGCGACGCATTAGATACATGCATACAGGTTAATAGCCCTAGTTTAATAACCCAATCACCTAGAGAGCAGTCAATTATCAAGAGCAGTATACGAGTCAACAGGCTAACAGCACCGCACCGACACATAAAAGTACCAGGATTAGGGATGATTCTAACTGACTGCCGCAAGCATGCGTACCATTCCTGTTTTCAACTCCTAGGTAAAATAGAACATTCAGTCAGGTAATAATGTCTTCCATTTTTACCCTTATTGATAGCACTAATAATTTAAAGTAAATTTGTGTATCTCTGAAACCTTACCAACAGTCTATATCTAGTAATTTAAGTATAAATTTTATGTTAATTTATCTAAACTTTAGCATTCTTACTTTAGTATCCTTTAGTATTATTACTTTAAGTAATAATAGTTGTAATAAAGTTTTTCATTCTTCTTTCCGTTAATCGTCTTCATATTTATGAACTGACAGCATTGAAAGTTCCTAGCTTAGATTGGACTACTCAACTCTACACAAAGGCTTATTAAACATGTGTCCCTCGATTCTAACTATAACTCGAAAATTCCACTAAACTATCTTCGTTTTTCGTAGAAAATGATAGTGGAAGACTCAAGTTATCATCTTTTAAGTATTACTAATGGTGGCTAGAAATGAACTAGTTTGAGAGTCTTCCCTCCAGTATTTGAGGTAGAAAACCAAAAACCCCCAACGCTGTATTTCGAGGTCGTTAGGACAAAAGCCACAATTTGGTGTAAAAAAAAAGGGAAACTTTAGCACCGTTAGATAAAGTTACGTAGGTGCTTTTCTCCGCATATTAGCCCTTTATAAAACCAATGCTATTTGCATCGTACTTAAATATTTATTAGCTAGCTGAAAACTAATAGGTAATGCATTATTACTGGAATGGTATAAAGCTAAATAATAACCATGTTCAGTGGAGTTCTATCCTAGTTGGCAACTATCGAAGTAACTAAAATTGACTAACAAATTTTAGTTACTTCCTTCTCAACCCTTGATACAACTCTAGACTAGTACTATTATTGATACACTTTTATAACAGTGCCGAACTGACATCAGTTTATACTGAGAAACAACACTATTGTATAACGCATCTTTTTCATCTTTATTTATGCTCTAAAAGAGTACAAAACTACAATTTTAGAAAGGAAGCCAGGTCAGAGAGCTATTCTACATAGGAAATATAAAGTGCTCTCCTCCAAAATTACTACTACTCGAGTATAGCACTCGAAAGTTCACTATATGATATCACCAGTTTCCAACTAAGTTTATCAGCCCCTGGATGTTTGTTAATAATATACATTTTGTATTACATATAAAATGCCACTTTCTTAGCTCTTTGAAGGAACGCCCAAAGCTCTCGTACGCAATCATTTACAACTGGCGCAGGCACTACTACTAGTTAGACCCTAGAAAGTCAGGGCATAACAACACTAACTCATCACTTCTAGGGTTTCCGCCTACTAGAGGACACCAATGAAGGAGCGGGTATTACAGATAAGTACATATACAGCGTTTTAAGAGATGAGTTACTAGAAAGGCAGTCAAGACATAACATCTCAGTAATAGGGAAAGGATCCAACTTAGTAAACCCAGCTTTGTTAGTTATGACTCTGGCAAACCCAAAGGGATAGATCCATATAAAGACCTCATGCAGACTCCTGTTTTCCAATACGAAGCGTGCAGGCTAGCATAGTTCAAGATGATCTAAGCTCTGACCTTATGTAATCCAGAGCATAAAAACTTTATTCACGTCTTACTTCGTTTGATCATCCCCGGGGAAGATAATAAGCTACAAATATGGTAAGCTACTTTGGACTATTCAGCTCAAGCCCCAGGCGGTAGTCGGCATATGATAAAACAGCACCCTTTTAGTACAGTAACTACGTTCAACGTGTAACCTACTCTTAAATAGCAATCCGACCCGAATTTGCTTATCTTGAAATATACAAGGCCAGTCATCAGAAGACGACGAGGAAGCCGAAACGTTGTAGTTTACCGTAGGTTCGACCTTATTCGGAGACGTACGATGCTTAGATACTGAAGGATGCTCCGAGTAAATTTACAGAGAGGGAACTAGTCTGATTGCTGTTAAACCAAAGAAGAAAGTTCCAGTAATCTAGTCACTAGCCAAGTACCACAAAGCTGCTTGTTTCTGCCTTAAATTCGGTGTAATTGTATTTTAAATAGATTTAGTATAGGTAATTTTTCCGTAATGTTAGACAGGCTTCTGACAATTAATATCATAAATATAATAACGGTATACCATTTGACGAGACCATCATACCGCCTTTTTAACAGTCTTTTTTATGATTTGTAAGTCCGCCCAAAAGAAAGCCTTCGATTCGAAGATTATTGTAACCCTACTTTAAAAATTGTCTTATATTTCCTTAACCTACTCTACTTATTTTGAATAATATAATAATTTTAAAAAAGGTTAAATATATTTTTTTAACAACTTTTCAAGACAGATTTATTTAATAACTTTCTTATAACTCAAATATAGTAGAGCCGCAAGTTATTAACTAATTTTGACTTAAACGCCTTCTAGAGGTTTAGGTTAAAAGCTTTTCAGGCTGAAACAATTGTTTTAATTATAACAAAGTCTTTGGACTGCAGCAATTCCAACAAGATTTCTTGATATAAGTCATGCGCCTTAAAAAAAATACACTTTATAATTATCTAATAAACTTAGTTGGAGCAATAAAGCCATTATAGCATGTTGGTTAGAGTTAAAGAGGTAAAGTTTTTAGGGGAACTTTACTCATAATAACAGGTTAAACACGTAAACCCGTCATAACGCAATTTGAGTGGTCATCGTAGCTCAGTGGTAAGAGCATGGATGCGAAAACTCAGGTCGTGTATAAGATTCAAGTCGAGTACTGTATTTTCAGTCCACCCTCATATTTTCAAGGACGGGTAAAAAAACAAATGAAGATAAGTCATTTGCTAGAAGCTTTAAATTCTTTCCCTGTAAGAATCGTGTATCGCCCTGGTCGCCTACCCAAATACCTACCAGAACTTATTTATCATGGCTATAGTAACTCCAATGGGATATGCATAGTAGTTAAACTAAGACAGGCTTGCGCGAAAGCTTCCACAGAGGTATCACGAGAAGTCCTATCACAATAATTGTAACGTATACTATGTCCAAAATAAACATATAAAAGGTTTTCGCAATAAAAGGCAACAATTTATTTTGATTACCATCCATTGCGACAGAGCGGTGGAAAAAGTATTATTTTTTTTAAATTATAAACTTTTCGTCTTAAGCCTGTTTAAATCATCACATTAACAAAAAATTTCGATGAGCAGAAATATTGGTACCAACAGGAAATGAGCTTATAAATTTTTGAAAATAAGCAATGGCTTAAGGTCAGAGAATTTATCGATAATATCGAAAGGGATCCCTGTACCACCGTAAATACTAGTATAAGCAGTACAACACGAGTAAAGAGACCATAAGGAGTTTCCTCAATGTTTGCCTGCGCGTAAAAGCTCAGCTGCTGCGACATCAGCCGATGGTGATTCTCCTTTAGCTGGCAAAGTTGCTGTTGGTGAGGAGTAGTCCCTGAAGGTCAATGAGCAAAAGTTGGTTAATTAAACTCAATGAGTAAGACCCAAGTTCCCTACGCTGGCCTGTGAAGACCCAGAACTCCTAAGGTAATATAAAATTATAATAATTTCTATAAAAGAGCTATAAGATTAACCAACTGAAACTTTGGGCATTCGAACCAAAACCTCCAGAATTGGGTATAAAAGGTTTTAAAGAAGCATCAGGCTGCTAAGGTAATATTATTTACGAGAAGACAAGAAAAATAATCAAAACCTTAGAGTTAAACGAGGAAAGGGCGTTCATAGCTGGAGTTGCACCAAAGGCGGCTTCTCAAAAAAAGGGAAGGATCCTAACTTCCCAAAAGTTAAAAATTGAGAGAAGATACCCCCAGGCTTAAAAGATAAGCCCGAAGTCGGTTGCCCAAATCCTACGGAAAGAGCGTTGTGGCTAATAGATACAACACAAAAATATAACTGCACAGACCTCCTGCAGGAAATGTAGGGGCCTGGTTTTGCGCAAAATCTCGTTTGGGTAAAGCAAGGAAAAAGTCGCTTAGCTGTTATTATAAAAAAAAAAAAAGAGAGACTAAACGAGGGCTGCTGAGATTGCCCCAATTTCTGAGGGAAGCCAGTTAGAGAGGGGCCCTGCGGTTGGCACAACGTAGAGGAGGACGCAAAAGCTATAAAACGGTTTCAAAAAATTTGTATGACAATTATAGAATAGGCTAACAATTTCCTAAAGTTTGGGGTTGAGTAGATTGACCAAAACCTGGAAGAAAGAAGGGAGGAGCGCACGAGGTGTGACAATAAAAGGTTCATAAATTCCACATAGTTAGTTACAAGAGGTTGTGGGCTGAGGTTGCCCAAAAGCTAATAAAAATTATAAGAAAAGTGAGATCTTTCGTGTTTAATTAAGCAAAAAAAAATTAAAATATAACGACGGTAAATTATAAGCAAAGTTTTCAGTTAATGTATAAATTATTGTTTTTGAACACACTGCAAGATTAAGAAGAGTAGCAAATATATATATATCCCAAATGAGGGTGTAAGAAATATTACGTCTCATATAAAGGCCGACAAAATAAAATTGCGAAAATTTGTTAAATAAGTAACCTTCGAAAAAAATAAAAAACTAAAATTTAATAAAGGAAAAAGAACCATTAAAATACTTAATTAAAAAAAAACTACTAGTACAGAAAACCCTGACTTCCAAACAATTAAAATTTTTGCATCCTCAAAAACTCTAAAGCACTACGAGAGCTTATTTTAAAAAACTATTATTTTTTTTAACACTCCAGCGATATATTATTAATAAAAACGTTAAATAAGTATTAAAGTTGGTAAAACTATCTAATTTAAATAGTACAGCATTGTTTTCTAAAACAGTAACCTGAGGATGCCGTGGAATTCTGCTGCCCAAAACCTACAAAAAAGTTTACAGGCCTAAGTTCCCAGCTAAAAATGAAAACCTGAAGGAGTTCCACTGGTGCTTTGAAGTCCAAAGCCTTTAAACAAAAAATAAAGATATTATGGTATATAATAAATAAAGTCACACCTTGCGAAGATTTATTTTGAGTACCGAAGCCTAAAACAAGAAAAAGACTAAATTAATTTAAATTGTATATTCATAAAAATGTATAAAAAAACCGACCAAATCCTGACTGGTTACATTGATTGAAGCCTTTCGAAGACGCTGCATACAGTTTATACGTAAGGTTTTACTCAGTAAGCTAAGCAAGCATAAAAGTACCCATTTTCTTGCGGAGAAAGCGGGGTGCTGTCGGCAACGCAAGCGCATGCTCAAAGGGTTGAAACACATAGCCGAGCTAAAATAACGCGTTGCAATCCATAGATGGTAAAGTTATAATTTAAATATAATTTAGTTAATTTATCTAGTAACTTATACTTTGACCCTCGTTTATTTAATTTTTTATAGTAATTTACTTTATTAAAACATATGTTTAACTAATTTTTGGCTTATAATTTTTTTATTAATTTTTAAAATTCTATTATAGTAAATGACATTGCATTTGCAGGTGTTAAATTAACCAATAAGTTAAGCTGGAACCCTAAAACTTAAGTGAGTCGACTTGAGCATGAAAAAAAGACCTTAGTAGAAAGTAACTTGAAAATACTACTGGATGTAGTAGTGGTATTACAAGCGCGAGGTATATCATTCATTTTTAGGAGGAAAGTTGGGATCTTTTTTCTCGTTAAAGAATAAATTTTTCCTTTCCCAAGAATTCTCCAGCTCGAGCTGGCAACTTCTTTAAGGCTTTAAAATCCTCCATTGTAGTCCAAATTTCTTTCTAAACAGTATGGATTCTAACTCTTTTGATGCCTTATTTCTTTAAGTAGTCCTAATTAATGCTGTTTAACTGAATGCATATAAAATATCTCTTTCTTATATAAGGTTAAAGAAGTTCTTCCTTGCATTATTTAACAGGTGTTGCGCATGCCAGCGTCGAGCTTTATCTACGGTTTCGTTAAGTTCCGTTGAATTTAACAGCTTCCAGTTTTACATTTTTATAAAACTTTTCCACCAACTCTCCTTGAGAACCCGTAGTTCAAATGAGTGTGGGTTGGTTCCTAACTTAGTAAAAAAAAAGTCGGGACTCAAAAACTATACTATCAGGATTAAGTTACGAAAATTGTTTGTTGATGCAATAGAGGAGAATAAAACTAGCACAAATAACATAGTAAAACCAAGGGTATATATTTGTTTTAGGGTTTTTATAAAGTTTTTAAATATACTTATATTCACTAAGCTTTAAAAGGTCATACTCTCTCTGCTTCCGGACTTCTGACGGGTCTGGCGGTTTTCCCTGCGAACTCCGCCAATGAGAGTTAAGGGGGATTTACGCATTCCTTATCTTTCTGTCAAATTTTTCATCTTTTAAGTTACAAACTGCTTTTAAGCTCACAACATACATACTATTTGCTTAGTAATGTTGCGTTAACTGCATAATTAACGTTCCAGTTTCTACGTTCCAGTTTCTATAATCTTAATTAACACGATTAAGAAAGCAAAATACCGCATTACCGCTCTGCTCTAGCTTTCTTACCTCAAAAATCTCTACAGAATAGTATTATACACTTTTATCCTTGCTAGTCATAAGTTCTAACTCTTTTTTATATTATAATTCTTTTAAAAAAATGCTTTTAAATTTAAGACCGCCAGTTTTTCAGATTTAATTATAGGGCATTATGAGTGGAGTTCTAACCCTTACCGGAAAGAGTATCAACTTTAGTACCTTATTTAGTAGTTTTTGCACAAGCACACTTTTAAAAATGCTCAATATCGAATTGTTTGGCTTTTTTAACCTAATTAAAATTGTTCTCTATTTCAACACCCCTTCTTTCACTTTCTTTATAACCTTGAAAATTATATAAAAGGAAGAAAGTAATAAGAAACGAGAACACAAAGATGGATAGAGGCTCAAGTATTTAAAAAATTAATATTTAATTAGCATTAAAAAAATAAAAAATTTTAAGCTATAAAAATAAATATTTGCGTTTTATAACGTTTAATTAAATTTCGCAGAAATTAGGAAGACAATAAATATCCTTTTTTTTCATTATAAGCATGTTTTATATTATATATTCGGTCAAAAAATTTATTAAAATTAATTTTTTTAAAATAATCGGTTATCGACCTGTTTTAAAGCATTTTTGAAAAACACTTTTTCAAGTTTCCGATACCAAAAGGTTTGGTTTGCTTAAAGCGAGTTCGTTAAGGCGAGGTAGATTGTACTTCTTTTTCTGTGCCTACTAATAAAACAAATAGCACTAAGTATTAACAAATTTAAAAACACTAAAACAAAACATTCAAACAGGAAATAAAATAATTTCAAAATTAATGAGTAAACTAAATATTTAAAAAAATTTTACATCAATTAAAAAAGGAAAAATCTGAATTTAACAACAGTATGATTTGCTAAACCTAAAAAGGGCCCCGTGAATTTAAGCGAGCTGAAAAAAGCGGCCGCTCACTATTTGAGTTATACACCTATCAGAAACTCTATAGATACACAAAACTAGTTTATTATTTAATTATTCTTCAATTTAACATTAATCAAAACTAGTTTAATTAAATTATTTTTTTTTAAGTAATATTCGATATCTAATAAGAATGGCCTAAACATTTTGAAACAAATTAACAACCTATATATTATATAAAGAGATATGGAAATATTTTTATACTTTTTGTAAAGGTATAAAAATGATCCAACTGACCAGGAAGTAAAGTTTAAGGTGGAACCTACTTTTTTCAGTTTATTTAACTTTGTTAATTCCTAATAGCTACTTCCCATTTAAGTTGTTCCTTATATCTCTTCTTTTATTCTTTTAACTTAAATATACTAATCTATAAAGGGGGACTGAGCATTCTGTTCTTGTTTAAAACCTAAGTTGTTCATTATTTGTTATAGTAGCAGGTAAAATAATTCAAATACATCCTAAAAGTTAGCTCACATTGCTTTTTAGCGATTTATTCATTTAAATTGCCCACGTGATGACTTCCTTTTAATTATTATAGGTCAATCGTAAAACAAGTAGGCTAGGGGCTTAAAAAGCGTGAAAGGTGGAAATAGCAACTGAGTATGATGTGATCCGCTGACATTCCTCTAATTTATTTAGCGCAGAAGGCCAATTAAAGTAGATTTTTAAATAAAATAATGTAATTTGTAATCTGAAAGTAACATTAGTAACTATAGCACTTTCTCAAAATTTATAAAATTTTAATTTAATTTGTAATAAATAGAATTACCGCCCAAATTTTGTGCCAGTACTAATTCAAAATAGCGCATAAAAACTGACTTCAGCAATACTATAATATAGCAAGTGTCGAAATTAATCGCAACCCCAAAAATGGATTCCCTCGCAGTTAGGTGCGATTAACTCGTTTTAAGGGTACCGTTCCACCACTCCCCCTTACCCTTACGACGGGTAAGTTGTTCAAGACACTCTTTTGTCACTAAAGGGGTAGGCAGAGATCCGAGGAGAGACCTTTTTTCTTTGACTGGGACTCTCTTTTGGTCCCAGAGCCCTCTTGGACTTGACTTTAGGCGAGTTCAAAGGTTCCGGATTCTATTTCTTTCCTGAGACCCTCTTTGATATCGGAATTCCGTGAACTTGTCTGTTTCAGGGTATCGAACCGCGCCCCCACAGAGCATTGGACTCATAACCTGTCTATATTAACTATCACTCCAAAACCACTCCAAAAGATGACACCCCACAGGTGGGTGCGATTAATTCGTTATTAGGGTAAACGTTCCACAGCGATAAACACAAAAACATTAAGCTACCTCAAATACTTAAAAACTTCCTTTCCTTATGGATGCAAAAATTTATTGATATCAAACCCAAACTGAAAACCTTTAAAAGAAAACATTTTTTGTATTACTAGTTACATAAGGGAACGAGTCAACACATCGCGTGGAAATAGGCCTACACATAGAACATATCTCACACTTGCATTGAATTTAAATCCACGGAAAGTTGAGGCAATGGAGTTTCTCTACAAGCTGGCATATACTAGTAGTCTGTATTTCGTAGGCTGACTAGGTCCTCATGCGTCAATTTTAATAGCTAACACACCTTATGTATGATGCAGTCAAGTATTTATAGAGATTGGTTGGCTTAAAACTACGAATAGAATTAAACTACCCTACAAATTTAATATGAAAACATACATATCTCCCCTTTGGCACCATTGGGGTAATTTATCTTCGTTATATCGTTGTTTTACCGTACTTTAATAAAATTGGAGCAAAAATTTTAGTATACCATTAAAAATTGTTAGATAGAAAGAAAATGACGCTTGCGTAGAGCAGCGGTTTCGTGCCATCCTATACGGTATACTGTGGCTAAGCAATCTATGGATTTCAAAACATTTGGTCCAATAAATTTTTCAACATTTGAGTCAGGTCTATTCACATTAAAGTCTTAAGTAATTGTGTTTTTTTCGCAAGATACATGTTTTTTTAAGGGGTTCCTTTATTACTTAAAGTTTGGGTAGCCTCGGACATTCACTGTACTAAGCAAGAAATCATCTTGCGGGGGTAGGTGCCGAGTGTGCTGTGGGTGTAATCGTAAGTTTCTGTTCCTGCTAAAAATTTTTCGTGGCTCCTGTCTAGCTTCCTTGGGAGTTATTAAAAAGAAGTATAGGTATTTATATTTTTTATTGAGTGTTTTCTTCTTCATACTTTGTACAATGTAAGTGTTGTGGGTAGAAATATAGCGTGATGGCAATCGGGTATCTCTGGGCATAATTTTAAGTTTCTACTTTCATCAATAACGTTCTCATGAGGTATAATTCCATTGGAAATTCGCTTCTTGCAGATAGTATTTTACACATAGGCTTCTTTTATTGCAGAAAGGTTTGAAAAATACCCTAACAGAAGAAAACCCTGCTTATAAATCTAAGTGGGCATGCTGGTCTTAAAGAGCTGACAGTATAGCATACGCACGTAAAATTTCATAATCACATTCTGAGCGCACCACCGCACATTACACATAAAATACGGCCGCTGGACAGGACATTTTTTATACCTTTTAAGGCTCCATTTTAACCTGCAAGGGCCATGTGGATGAGATAAATTGTAACTGTGATGGTTGTAAAGCTCAAAAACCTTTGGTGCATCATAAATACAAAGACCCCGGCTACCCGTCCCTTTGTGTAGTCAAAAATATGAGGCCAAAGAATTTTAATATTGTTTCAAAAGACTTACATGAACACTAATTTTTAATAAAAATTTTTTTTTTAGGTTTATGTCAAGAGTAAAATACAGCCAAAAAATATGAAGCCTCTCTTTTTTTGTACATTATCTAAAAGTCCTGGGCGCTCGATCTTACCCTGCTAGTTAATATTTATATCATTTAAAAATTTATATCTTATGAGTTCAGTTGCCAATCAAAGATCTTGTTAGCCTTAAAAGCGCTTGCTTTTAGTTTAAATGTGTGCAAATAGCTCCATTCTCCCTAAGCTGTTCTAAGGTGTGAGCCATAAAGACAAAAACGCTGCCTTTAAATTTTAAACTAGGCGCAGAGAGAGCTGGAATTAATAATTGAGAAAAGAAAAGGATGTGCGTTTAATTTTGCTTTGTTAAAGTCAAGAGCTTGCCCATTATTTTCTTTAATGTTTGTTATACTTTTATACTTTAACGTTAAATTAGTAAATATCCAAAACCAAAATTTAGTTTCTTAAATACGTTAAGAACTGCGTTTAATAACACGAGCTTCAGTTCACGTGTAAGAAAGTGCTACTAAGGAAGAGGCGTCCACTATAAGTCAATTGTTTAAGGTTAGAAAAACTTGTGAACTGAAGGCATTATATATTCAACGCTGAACTACCTCGCCACTATAATCATTAAAATTATTACAAACTTTTATTATGTGATATTAGCTTTTTTTAGAATCTCCTTCCCCGCTGGAAGCAAGAGGAAGCTATGTTTCTTTTAAATTATATACCTAAAAGTACTTCTAAGAGTCACCTTCTCACTAGTCTGCTTTTTTTGCTTTGAAAACAATAGAGAAGCTGTTATATAAGAAATAGAATATATATCGCATTATACTTTTTATAATATTTTAACCCTAGCTTTCGTAAATTTTATTTAGTTACGAAATTTTAAAGGTTGATCAAAAGTGTTGTAAATTTATAGAAGAAGATTAGTAAGGTAGAATTATACAAAATATTTTCCAAGATATTTGCCTATAATTTTCCCATAAGTTTCTTTCTCCTTATGTTGGTATTACAAAATTAATGTTTTGAAAACTATATATTACAGATAAACAAAAAGTATAATAAATGTTTATCGTGAATACAAAAAACTGTAATTATTTATATGACAATTTTTAAGCTGTCTGAGGAACACAAACCACACCTAAAATAGACAAAATAAAGAAAAAGGCGGGTGTATGCTACGCCTATAATGACACCGATAGATTACTCGATTAGTAATGTGCCTCAAGCTCTCAACCCTCACGTTACATACATACACTTATGAGGGCAATAAACCTGCTAAAGAAAAATTAAGGTTAGCCACAGTCCTTTTACAATGCTTGCTGCTGTATATATGTATGCACAGTATACCCACGCTTTTCGTATAGCTCCCCCCCTTGGCCTTTAATCGCCTATAATTTTATCTTAACATTCTTGAGCAATAGATAATTTTGTTGGTGATTCGAGGCAACACCTTGAAAAAACAATTTTTTTTAGATAGTATTTTAAACTGAGCTGCCTACAGTTATAGGATGTAACTGTTTGACAGGTTATCTGTCAGGAACCGTTACGTATAGTTATTACATAACGCTTAAAACAAAAGATGTTATCAACAAAATATAAATGCCAAATAACAGACACTCAAAATTATTATTAGAAGCCTTGGCATACAAAATCATGATTAACTAGGTTGTTAAAATTTTTGGGTTCTCGTAAAACGTTTAAGTCTAACTACTGTTTTTATCAATAACGCCGACTTTTATCCAGGCAGTTTATTAATGCAGTACTCTGGGGAGTTTAGTTTAACTAGGCAAACGAAGCGCCATGATCGGTTAGTTATTGTAAGAGTTATAGAGAGACATCAGGAAGTCACTCAAAAATTTAATTAATTTTAATTTTGTCATTACTTTGGATAACCAAATCTAAGTATCTTGGGGATGTAAGAGATAACAATTAAATCGTAAAGCCCACAAGGAATACATAGCCACAATAAATTGATTGTGAGGATTTTTATAGTCCCTTTACTAAAACAAAATAATCTTTAAAATTGTTATAAGACCACATATATCCCATGTTTTAGTTGCGTGGGGTTACTGATCTACAGCCAACATTAAAGTTGCGGGGACCTTGCAAATATGATTTTACTAAAAATTTCAAAGCAAAACCAAATAAAACCTTTAATTATAATAAAAATGTTTTTATATAATTAACTAAGCAAGAATGCACCTGTTTTATCAGTATATCACAATATTCAAACTGATTGCGAAATTAATGAGTGATGTTTACCTTTGACTACTGCCTTGTTCCTGGGTCGCTGGTGGTGGTTGGATGCTTCTCTTGGACCAGGCCACCTTATCGGGACCTATCCTTAGGGCAATCAAATCTTGTGTCCACTAACCACACATGCTCTCCGGGGAAATACTCTATAATTCCCAAGGTACCTATATTGAGATATATTTTAATATACTTAACACTATTATAAGTATAAATACTAATAATTACAATAGTAACAATATTAGTAATGATTCTAATAGAAGTAAAAGTAATGTTTTTATTTATGAAAATATTTTATTTTATATGTTTAATTTTTGAAAAAGTCGGTTTTATTAAAAGAAATCCTATAGGGAAGGCCGTCCGGGTTGTTTTGGAGACAAACCCTTTTGTCCTTAACACAGGAAAATTATTTTAGTTCACTCAGGGGCTTTTTAACGGTCAAGATATTCAAAATCATTAAAGACCATATTAAGAAGTATATTAGGCTCGTACAAAAGAAGTTCTGCCTTTACCGCTATCTAGTTATAGCGCCTATGCTAATGATGTGGAAGTAGTAAAGAAACAGGTATAAATTTTTTTTAAAGCTTTACTTCTGCAGCCGTATAACACAAATGAGTAGAAGGCGGTTATATGAGCATTTGTACACTGTCTTAAAAAGCATTAAATGCATCCTCTGGTCAATATGTTCCTTTTGACTATAATTACCACGTATCCTAAAGACCCGCTTGCGTCTAGTAACTGTACACTTGTGCGTACTGGGAAATCTTAGTCTTTAGGCCGAGCCGATTAGTATCAGGAGTTTAATAAATGGGTAACCGCTCTGATATAGGGGGGGTTAGGGCAAACTTAAGGGTTACCTTGAATATCATGTGTAAAGTAGCTTATAAATATAACATTAAGATATTCCTAATGAGCATTGGTGAATTCAATCCTGAAGTCTTCTAATTGTCGCTATTATAGCTATTTCCTAAACGGAAGGAGAAGTGGACAGTATATTAGTGATTCCTAAATCATTAACGCATTGCAATTTTTTTATTCCCCAGCGATGGCTCCAGCAGAAAGAATAAAAAGTGCTTAGCAAACTTCTAAACTAATTTTAAACATAAAATCTATGAATTTTACCCACCATATTTTTGGTCAGTATATTGAATTGCCTCCTGAACAACCAAGTAATACTTCCTTACAGCATGTTAGGAATGTAACCGCTAAGCAACTAAGCAAACGCTTAATTTGATGCTCTCCATTCACAGGGTTGGGGCGCAAAGGAGTGCCATGACTCTTTTAGAGGAAAGATATCAGCCTACTCAGCCTAGGGTGGTAAAAAACCGCCATCAAGTGAGGTGGCCCTGGGTACCAAACTTGAGGCATATTGACCAGCATCACTACTAATAATCAGGCTGCCCCGGCAGGGGTCCAATTGTTTTTTAATTTTTTTTTATGACCATACACCGCTCATCTTGTGTCCCCTTCCTCAAAAACAGTGGAGGAATATGACTCGGAACCACAACTTGGCCTAGCGAGGCAGAAGACCGGTCTCGCAACGACCTTTTTAAATAGTATACGACATAGTAGGTTAGATTCATGTATGAAGAATTAATAGATTGTGACAGTCGGTATTTAAAAGTTGTGCCCGCCGAAAGTGGTGCTATCCAGCAATTTCCTATTTTAATGACGTACTGTGTGTGGATGATTGCATTAACTTTAGATTAATTTCTCCGCATGCCAAAAAGTGGACGCCTAGGCAGGAAATCTAATTGCTAAAATTAACCGAAGATCTCCAATTGCTTTGGGAAGGCGGAAACAACACCACTTTCTAAGAGAGCGCGCTTGCTGCTGTTATTTATCTGTTTACACAACTACGACTCAATTTAATATAAAAGCAATAGGATAGCTACTCACTTTTAATACTCACAATTTGCGATGTTTACAAAAAATACTTGCAACGAAATCGCCATTTTATTCACCTGAGTCCCTTTTATAGAATTCCCTTTTTTTTAAAGTTCTTATTTTTGAGCATGTCGTCTTAGTTAAAAATCAAATTGGTCTATTTTGACATGACTTCGTTAAATTTTTAGTTTAAGGTTTTATACATTTTTAAGAATTTCACACAACCGAGAAGTTAAAGATAACTATTATTAATAATCATGCACAGAAAAATTTATAAAAAGTGAATTAGTGAAATTGCCTAAATTAGCTAAACATAGTTTTAATTTTCCCAGTTAACGTTTCTGTTAATAAAGGTTTTTTTAAAATCAGTTTGCCTTGGTGTTGTTGCCTTGAAGAAGATATTGAACTGCGGCTCTCACACAAATGCAAATTTATTAAAAAAAATTGTGAATAGAAAAATAATTCTTTAAGTTTTTTAACGAAACTAAGAACGTTTAAGTTTCCTGTGTTCCATGTTATAAAAAATAAAGTTGGTGACTAATGGGTAAATAAATAGTTTAATTCCTACGATAAACAAATTTAAAATTATAAAAACAGGACACTTGAACCCAAAAATTAAATAGAGAACGAGACAAAGGTTAGCACTTGGTGTCCAACAAAACAAAGGAGACCTTTTCAGTCACTGATTCGACACAACCAGTGCCGTATTTTTTAATTACCCATATTATACCAGCCACAAAGGAAATATTCTAGTCAACCGGCGTTTGAAGCTTCACCGTGTTCCCCTTTTTTGTATTAATGGACACTGGTCGATCGTCACACTCGCCCAAAAAACAAAGGTCATTATTCAATCAGTTTTGGGATATATCTATTTTAGCTGCTGTGTAAACTTTTTTAGTACTACGCTTTTAAATTCTTCCATATCTATCTTTTACTATTTTCTTCGTTTCCATATTAAAAATTAAATTTTGGAATAGAAGCCACAACTTTTCTTCTGATTGGGAGTTAAGTGAATTTTCTTCTGAGGATTGTAAGCTCTGAAAGCTATTTATGATAAAGCAATTTTAAGTTGTCTTTTTAACGCTCAAGCTACATATTTTTATAATAGCTACAGATTTGGATGACCTGGTTCAGGGTAACCTGTATTCTCGAGAGGCCTTAAATAAGCAAGCTGTACATCCCACTTCTCCCCGACTTACAGACAAAGACTTAATACTTAATCTCTCGGAAGATGGTATTTACTTGGACTACTGTAAAATTGTTAAATAATTTTATGTTGTACAAAATCAATCTTTTTGCTTAGTCACAAAAGAACAAGTTAACCACCTACTTAGGAAAGAAAGCTCTCAACAGGAGCCTTCCGTGGGTTTTTTTTTGTTTCATACTTTTTTATATTACTATTTTTTTTTTAGAACACTTCAACTGTACGTAAGTTAGATGTTACCCTTAGAAGACTTATAAAACAGGTACTACCTTATTAATAATTTTTTACCTATAATTTCACTTTTACTTGATCATAGTCGGTATTAATAAGTTTCTTATCTTTAACCTATTAATTAGTTTTTTGTAAGAAAACTTAGCAATTCGGACGCTTACGCTTGTATAAAGTTTTTTTTAACAGAAGCTAGTGGCGTGCAGTTGCTTTTATACTAAATAAATGGTTTATGGAAAGTGTCCTGAATTTTTTTTAAGAAGACAAGCGTTTCCTTTTATATTTTTAACTAAAGTATTGTATAGCTTGGTGTCCTCGCTTTTAAAGCGCTCTTTAAATGCTTTGAGGTAACGCTTTATTGAGGTTAGACTAACCTACTGATCTGGATAGCCCACGGGCTTTATCGCAATTCTATTTCACGCTCCTCTTCTTTAAAGGTTGGTAACCGTTTCTAAATTATTAGCGAACCGTTTTATACACCGTCTCACAGAAAGAAGTGATGGGTCTTTTGTTAAAGGAAAATAAGATGATGGAGCCCTCCGAAAGGCTTCGTCTCTGCTCAATGCTGACTTTTTTTTGTGAGCATTACTCCCTTGAGGAGAAGGGTTCCTCTCAAGAGGATGCAAACGTTTCTAAAAGCTCTGTTCTCGAAGAGAGTAGGGCTACCGTGCTTAGAAAAATTAATTTTAAAGTACAGGAGCTGCTGTATAAGTTGCGCACGAACACACTAGCAGAAGACGATTATATACACGTAGGGGAAAAGTCGCCTTGCATGTCGCTCTCTTATGCTAACTCGCTTTCTTTAGATATTCGTTGCACTTCTGAGAGCATTTTTCCAGGACACCCGACTCGTTCTTTTTATACGCCCCATGAAGTTTTCTGCATCCCAAAAGTCTGGCAAAGGTAGGTTTCTTAGAGCGGCGCATCACCTTGCCGACCTGTCTTTCGTTATAGTCTTCCCTGTGAGTCGAGCATGGGCGGAAGTTTATCTGACTTCCGAGAAAAGATATGTAGGTTCTCGTGTTTTGCAGCTTGGTGGCTTATTGATCGGTAGTTCCATGCTGCAGCGGTCGATCCGGTAACCCGAACCGTCGACAAGTGCGATAGTATAGTCGGCCCTCTTAAATGCTCCAATTTCTACTGTTTAGCCTTTTATCAAGGTACAATTACTTGAAAATTTGTTTCTAGCACGCCAATGGTACAATTACGCCACAGACGGCTCAGCCTTTGATGTTACTGCGAAGTACGCTAAAGACTTCTTGTCTTTGTCTAAAAAGCGACAAGGCATTTTCGAAACTACCAACTTTTAGTTGCTTGTTCTATAATCTACATAGCTAGTATTGAATAATTGGTGGAGGCAAAATGTTTCATTGCTGCGCACAAATAATGAAGGATTTCTTGTATGCATTGTTTAGTTATTTATTACTTTGGTCACTGACTTATCTTAATGAAGGAGAAAGAAAAAAAGGAGCTGGACCAAATTAAGAAGGGTATTTTACTTCAAGCCATCCCGTCCACTCTCTCGGGGCTTAAAAATCATCCTCTGTATGTTTAACGAATGTTTGCATTGCCGATTCTCAGTTGTCTTTAGATATGTTCTTCAGCGGCACATACCACGCGATCAGTTGCTCTTCCCCTTTGATTCTCGTCCAATCGGCTTTTTCAAAGGAGAGCCTGTTTATGCTCGGCACCAGTTGAAAGCTGTTGAACTTTTAAGCCCCCTGTTGCCTGCTTGCGCTCACCTTGTTGCCTTTCGCAGTGTAAACGCCGCCTCCAGTGGCTTAAAGAAGGGCGTCAAGTCAAGGACGGAGAGCAGCCAGTGAGGGTGGCGTTTCGAAGGAAACGATATACTCGGTCATTCGGTTTTGCGTTTTTTCTGGTCTCGCGTTAAGCCCTCTTGACGGTTTCTATTTGTTAGAAACTGCTGATGACCCTTCCCAGGAATATAAAACCGTCCCTGGAGGTGCTCAAAAAAATTCCAAACTTGTATTTTCTAAAGTTAGTTGTCTGGATTGTATAGAAGTTGAGCTTTTTGGCGAATGGCAAACAATTTCCTTTCAGAGACCCGTTGCGTCGGCTGTTCTCTGGCGCTTATTTTTCTCTTCTCGCTACTTAATTTTTTAATAAGTAAACTATACCAGGGAACTGTTCCTTTAAACCGCTTTGGTAACGTGGAGCTGTTTCAACCGTCTATGCTGCCCATCGGCTGCGTTCACATCGATTGTACAGATTAAGGCTACATTCCCTCGTCGCGTTTTGACAATTTTACTATCCGACTTGCAGTGCCCCGAGCTGAGGAGCTTGCCAAAAGACTAGGTAAAGTAGTATATCTTGATCGGTTGACCTGCAGACAGGTGCCCACTGTCTTAGACGTTTTTTATGGACGAGCGCTGACAGGCTTTCAGTTCCGCAAGGAAAATACGGTTTAAATTTTGTTATTGCTGTTTTTTTAACAAAGTAAAAAAAATAAACTTCACTATTGTTTCATGCAGATCCCAGTCATCAACGGCATAGTCGTTTGCAAAGAGGACGCTATCTTTTTAATGGAGGTTTCTTTGCTCTCTAGGTTTCTAGAGTTCATTTTCGCAATGAGGCGTGAATGGGATTATAGAACAGATATCACTTTTTATATGGTTGTTTTTTTCATTTAACCATGGCTTTTAAAGGCGTGGTATCAGCTGGAGTGTCACCGTATTGACAAGGTGTGCAGAGAGCGAAAGCGCAGTACCTTAGCCTTGTGGTCGCGGCTCGCAAGGAGGTGCTTTCCTGCCTGAAAAATGTTTCACTGCGCTCTACCATACTTTTTAACGTTTTCAGATTACTTTTTCGTCACCAGCTTCGGCACCGTCTGAAGGTTACTGTATACATAAATAACTTACTTGCGGACCTTTCCAGGTTTTCTTATATTTTTAGGCGCAAGCAGAAATCGATATCGTGTCTAAAAGTAAGCGTGAGACGAGTAAAGAATAGAAATCGATTCAATAATTGAGGCCATTGTCTTTATGTTTTTGTCGCGCTTATTGCGCTACTTTCATTTTCTTGGAATCTAGAACACATTTACCATGATACTAATACATTAGAAAGGGTAGGAAACTTTCTTTTTACCCTGAAGAAATCTTGCTTGTATTAGGTTACCAAAAACGCAGTAGATTTTTTATTATTAAGTTCATTAGAAAGATTAAAATCTAAAAGAGCAAATTTTACTTGTAGACTATTGAACAGAACCATAAATGGCGCAGACTGTAAGTTCTTGGAGTTGCCTGAAATTGTTGCAGTTAAGGCTACTTAAGGCAGAGCATTGTTTTATGCTATAATAGCGCAGTTTCTGACAGCGCTCTACGGTTTTCTTTAAGAAGTCTTTTACTACTTATTACAGTATATTCAATTAGTCAAGCTTTTTTCGTTGGTTACCACCTTATAAGCCTAGTGTGCTATATGTACAATGGAAACTTTATCTTGTAATTGTAACGAATTAGTAGGTGCCGTTAGCATATATATAAGTACTATATCTAACACTCACACTTGCATGCACATATAATCGTGGATAAATCTGTACTTATAAAACTTTGAACTTTTTTAAAAGAATTAATTTGAAAATGCATACTGTTCACTGGAAAATAAAATTAGACTTTGCTTTTATTTTACTGACTTGTGACTTATTAATACGCAGCTCTCCTCTACCTCAAAGCTTATTATAGCACTGCCAGGTCAGGCCTCAATTTGTACAAATCATGATAAAATCCTGATATATAATAATTGGTAAGATCTGATCTGCTTACTAATGGCAATATTATTTTTGTATGTACATGGTTCAAATAGGATCAAATAAAAGTGATTAATACAGACCGTTTACAGTTAAAGTAATAAATTAGCTTGAGATGGTAAACCGTAGTAGACTTTAAGAGGAGTAGTTTAAAATTTTTAAGAAACGACCTAACCTTTCAAGCACTAATTTTAAGCTTTTTTTTGACGATTTATGACCTAAATTTATATGAATATAACTTTTTAATTTGTTAATTTGACATAAAAAGCACGTTGGGATTTTTAAACTTTTCTAAGTTTATGTGGTCTCAGCAGAGATACATCAAATAACTAAAGAAAACTTGGTAGCCTCGCATGGTTTTAGTAGTACACTCGCTGTAAATTACACGGATATACAAAGAACTACAAAAATTATTTATTTGAAGAGACACCATTAAAAGACATTTTTTTAAAAGGAACTTTAATTTGTCCTTTAAATGGAACCAAAGTAAATATGTTTATTTAAATCCAGAATTAAATTTAAACATACATATACGGAAAAGATCATAGTTCCTTTGTAAAAGTACATAAAAGGCTTACGTGCCTTAGTAGAACTAACTCGTTCTTTTGTTTCCTTCATCTTTGTTGCGATGTCATTAGTCAGTCAAGTATTAGAGACAGCAAGGTCCGCAGAATAATTATGATTTGCTCTTTTTCCTAAAAAGTGCTGTGGTATAGGGGGGCAGCAAAATTACTGTGTATCGTATGAATTGTCATTAATTATTTCGTTCCCTACCTTGATTACAGATGCAGATTGATGCTTCGTACAACCAATACTAGTGATGATTTTACCCGCAGCAGGGTAGGTAAGAATTTCTTCGCGATGAAACCTGGTGCCTGTCGTAAACCGTCGAAGATACCGTAACCTGTGTCCTGGCGGCCTCCTCTCAAAGCTGGCCAAGTAGGTGAGCTCGCTATAGTGGGAGCCGCTCAAAAGCGCTCGCGGTGTTTTTTCGGAGTTTCAGTTGAGATCTCCGCAAGGGCATTCAACTTAAGCTCCTCATCTAACAGAGTAGATGGCTCAAACCTTTAGCCTCGAAGAGGCCTCTAGAGCCATTGTTTCTAACATTCGAGACAGCAGTCCTCAGAATTTGGCGCACTAACCGTTTGGCCGCGTTTTCAGCATGCCTGCGGGGACGCACAGTAGCCTTTGCGACCTTAAGCAGCAAGGGGTTTTGTGCAGAATTTTTTTTTTTAACCTTGCTCTTCGTGCTTTAAATGTGCGACTGCCTTTGCTAGCTTGACCTACACGCAGATCGCCCTATACGCAGACTATGACAGTAACTCGTCGATGTCTCGTCTACTTGTTTGCAGGGCTATTTCTTCGCACTTGCCTGCTGGTACCATCAAGGAAAAAAAATTAATGGCGAGATAGCTGTGGGGTCATTAACACTATGTTGGGTTAGCCACGCATAGACTCCGTGAGGGGGCGGACAAAGCGGCGATTTAAGCGTTCTACCCCTGCCTTATGGTAAGCGAAACTGTATTGTGTGATGGCGCTAAGATCCATTGGTGCACTTAAAGACATACCTGTGAGTCAAATAGTATTTTGGTATGACTTCCATCTTTAGGTTGCCATGTATCTGTAGCCACTTTTTCCGATAGTTGTTTCTTCAGGGGGGGCGTTCGTGCCCCAGGTCCCTCTTATGGAGGTAATAACAAATTAAGCGCTAAATTCCTACTAGGACGGAGCGTAGTTTGCCAGTGAAAAAAAATTAATTGGTTGTTGCTTTTATCCTTTTCATCTAATTTTTTTAATTTCTTGATAAGCTTTACATCATAATTTAAGTAGTCATGAGAACTACTACCAGTTATCCGCGTATATAGGGAAATTAGTCAATTAAACATAGTAATTTAATCGGTTTAGTGAGGTGTATCTCAACCTTATAACGAATCCTCTATATAGTAAATACTATTTTTCTTACCATCCTACCCTTCCCACCAGAGGGACACTTGGAGATTACTTTTTTCTATTTCTTCTAAGCGCCGGGCTGTGATTTGGTCCGCGCACCTAACTTCTTAGAATTTGTGATATTTAACTTACTTTTTTAGCAATTTATTCATAATATACTTATACACTTTAGAAAATTTACGCTACGTAAGTTATAACTACTGATATGTATTATAGACCTTATATATATTATATTTTTATCATTTTTTTATTATTATTTTTTCTTCCTTTTAACCTCTATTTTTTAAAAATATGTATTTATCTTTATATTAATTATAATCTGTCCTCTGAAGAAGAACTTCGAGCATTCATTGCTAACTTGTTGACTATTAATGAAGAGCCCAGAGAAGAGTTGGCTTCTACAAAGGCAAACTTCTTGAAGTTACTAAAAACACTCAAGACAAAAATAAGTCTAAAAGGCGAAAGGAGACATACAACTAACAATAATATTCTATTTTCGACCTTTTATGTTCTAGATCAAGACGCTTCCGAAGTGGGTTTGGAAGATAGGGAGACTCTATAGGTTACAAAAGCCGAGCGTGGTCACAGGGAAATATCTAATATTAAAGATAATATTAGTAGTAGCGATAACCTCAAGGCTGATAGTTTCCCTACTGGCATCATTAATAATGGTATAGTAGTTAGCAAAAACAACACTAATAGCAATAAAGTCATATCCAGTAATAAAAATAGAAATATTATTAACAGTAATGATAGTAGTAAGTTTCCCCCCATTAAGGGTAACGGCAACCCAAAAAATCATTAGTCTGAGAAGCCCACAAAAGCTATACAAGACACCATAGATATTGAGATGGGCAGCGTTTCTGACACTGTCCCTCTTTTTAATGAACGTTTATCTACTACTGAATCTCCCCCCTCTCTGCGAACTCGTAAAGAGAAAATCCCTTCTACCACCCTTTGTGGAATACAACATTTGTAATCATCAGTGCCATTTTCCGAAATCAAGAGATATGCTTCTAGGAATTAAAATATTTCCGACAACAAAAATACCGTGCGATCACAGCGATAAGGCGCAAGCAAGATTTACAACATTTTACCTTTCAATTACCTAAAGACGAACCACACAAACTTGTTATTCGTGGAATTTATTGCAAACTCGATTTCTCCACCGTCGAGGCGGTCCTGCTCGCCAGTTCATCACATACCTCCGAGTGGCACGGATGCACACAGAGGGCACTGTCAACGGCGAGCGGAAGAAGCGTCCGTTACCACTATTGCTAGTGCATATACCCAAAAGGGAGCGACAAAAGCTTTTAGAGATGAAGACTATTTCCCGTCTACATATTAAAATAGAAGAACTTCGAAATAACAGTCGCGTTGGACAGTGCGACCGCTGCCAAACCTTTGGCCACGCTGCAAGCTTTTGCACAGCGGTACCTCGATGCTTTAAATGCGGGGAGGGTCCTTTGGTTGCAGAGTGTACCAAATCACGGGACTCGCCTGCTAAATGCGAACTGTGGCGAGGCACATACCGCTAATTACCAAGGCTGCAAATATTACCCGCGCAATGCCAACCAGCCGACCCGCAAAGTTTACTTTGTTTACGCCAACTACAAACAATACCGTTACCCCGGGGCCTCTTACGCGTCTCATTTGAGGACAAAACCTCATCAAGTTTTGCCTAATATCCCGTTAGGTCCTAAAGCCCCCTGACCACGCTTCTACTGCAAAAGCTGAACAGCCGCAGCCGACTATACGGCAGGTGTTAGCTACTTAACGACGAATTTATCCAGCATGCTTGCAAACTGTGAAAGGGCTGTATTCTGTTTGGAACAGTTTTTAAACCTTGACGCCCTGCTACATATGACTATTTTGGAATGGAAATGGTGTTTAGAGTACGAAGCAGTAGCTTCAGGAGCTTCAGGAGCTGTTACAACGAGAAAGAATTAATGTATGTGCTATCAACGAGACGCACCTCCTTCCTAATAACGTGGTATTTAATTTGTGCAACTTTTTTACTTATCGCCAAGACAGAATTGATGCACGCGGTGGGGAGTGGTTCTTTGGAGTATTCGATATCATTCGGCGTCTATGCCAGCTCTACAAAGTGTCGAGGCGGTGGGAATTCCTATGTATGGCAGACCAGGGGCCCGATGTTCTGAAATCGCTGTCTACAAATCCCCTTGGAAGCTAACTTCCGCCCTTCAATTTGGACGCCATACTTGGGAGTGTCTCTTCTGCTGTTTTGTGCGGGTATTTTAATTGCAGGCACTCTACATGGAACAGCGGAGTCGATGACCGAAGGGCCACATCCTTGAGGCCTAGCTTATGAGCACGGGCTCTGCGTATAAGGCCCCCAGAAACCAACACATTTGGCGACTACAGGCACAGTGGACGATATTGCCATACTTATCTCTCTACGGCAATTGAAACGCTTCACGGCCTGTCCTCCGATCACCACCCCGTTATTCTCGATTTAGGGATGAAAGGACACACCCAAAGATCATTACCCGTATTTTACCGCCTGGGTCTATTATGCTGATGATTTAGAACCACTCTACCGCCGGGTTCATCACTACCGTCACGCCCTGCCGGATGATGCTGTTGCCCTTTCCGAAACCGTACTGAACATGGCTCACACTACTACCACAACAACTCCGAAGAACGTACGGCCCCGACCACTTGTCCTACAAACTAAAGTTGCTTATCTGCCAAAGTTGACGTCTTATCTGAGTAGCCATTGTGTCGCAGAGCGCCCGAAAAGAAACTTGCGCTTAATCGACTTCATAGGCGCATTAGGAAAAAGTTAATAGCCCATTTTAACAATAAGTGAGAAACCAAACTGTATCCTGTATCAGAATCAAGAGACAGCAGCCGCTCCTCCTTTTGGAAATTTTTTGAAAGGATCAAAAATCGGGGGTCGGGGGCTTGACACACTACCACCCCTTCCTGAAGGTAATATAGTGGCCGAGAGCGATGGAGATAAAGCTACGCTTTTCGCCAATGTTCTTGCTATCTAAAACGTGACAGCTGCTCACTTTACTGCTAAGGATGATGCCTTCCTTCAGCTGAGGTTACCCCCTTCCCGTTAACTACGAACTACCTAGTCTACTTAATGTTGATGAGGTGCAAGCAATTGTCGAAGCGCTAACTTAAACGAAAAGCGCCTGGCCCCGATGGCATCACTAATGAGATGCTGAAGAAAATGCCAGTAATAGGGATGCGCTATCTTTACCTCCTTATAAAATATTGGATTCTCCTTGGCGCTCTTCCGATTAGATGGAAGACGGCGATCGCTGTGATGCTACCAAAAGCCCATAAACCATAATCAGCATCTAGCAGGTATCGACCCCTCAGCCTACTGTCAGCGGCAGGCAAAGTGGTGAGGTCGTTTTACTGCGCCGTCTTAAAGAGGTCGCTGACGCTCGGAAAGCTTTATGGAGTTTCGGTTTGGGTTTCGGCCAGGGCATTCAACGAACTAGCAGGTCCTTCGCTTAACGAATGAACCACTCGCACTTTTAACCATAAGAAGGCAACAGGCGCTGCCTTCCTTGACGTTGAAAGGGTATTTTTTGATCAAGTTCGGCATGAAGGTCTGCTTCACAAACTGCGCTCGTTTATCCGTCTCACATGGCTTTATAACGTGCTGAAATCATATCTGAATGGTCTCGTCTTCAAATGCGCGTGGGAGATACACGTTCCCCACTTCGATCTCTGAAAGCAGGGGGCCCTCAGGCATCACTTCTCTCGCCCCTTTTATTTGCAATTTACATGAGCGACGCGCACTTGCTGTCCGATCCACACACATGAATCACCCTGTCCGCTGTTGATACGACCGTATATCGAAGTCTCCCGCCTTGATATGCGAACATCTTCTGCGCTATCTTGACGCCTTGCTTTCTGGTGCCGTAAATGTAAGGCATAAGTGCGATGAAGGGCAAAGCTATATTAATATCCTAGAAACGCGTCCCTTTGTTGGTGCCCTTAACCTTTAATGGCGTGAAGATCCCATGGAGTTTTCAAGCGAAATACCTGGGAGTCGTCATCGACAACAAATTTTCCTGGTGGCGTCACGTGGGCTATGTAGTGGCGAAGGTCAAAGCAGCAACCAAGGCGCTTTATCCTTTAATTTGCGGCAAAACTAAGCTTTCTCTGCGAAACAAACGGCAAATTGTATTTGTGTGTTACATCCAGTCAATAATGACATACGCGTCTGCTGCTTGGACCTATGAATCCACTGCAGTAGCGTCGGCCTTCAAGTGCGACAGAACAAATTGCTGCGTGTTCTGGTAAAGGCGCCGTGGTTGTGCGAAATGATCCTCTTCACTGAGACCTTCAGTTGGATCCTTTAAACATTGTCTTCCAACGCTATGCCGTGGTCCTTTACGGGAGACTCACCAGGCACACCAGTCGCCTGCTAGTGAGCGAACTTATTTACAAGCCATGGGACGGGGCACTTTATCACCGCCAACGTGATGCGCTGAAGCGCTAGTTTTTATTTTTTTTTGTTAATATAAAAAAAAATGACTCTCTGAATGCTGTTTGTATATCACCCCTGATTGAGAGCTCGAGTATTCGAAGTTTTTAACTCGCTCGAGCACCAGGAACTAATTAAATAAAAAATAAAACTCTCTCCACTGCATTTATTTTTGTTTTGCTTGTAAGATGAACTGATGTTAAACTTCTTGAAGGCATCCTTGCATATCAATCGAAAACTCAATTTATTAATCCGACTTATGCTTAAGAATTTATTTTAATATAAGCAGGTCCTGTTTCTTCTAAACATATTAGGAAGTTTTGTCTTTGCAATTATTTTGCTTTTCTAAAGCATAACCTTACTTAACTTTTATTAGCTTCAGAATATATTACCAAGCTTTTTTTTTTTCAGTTAACTATTCTAGGTATCAATTTATTTCTCAAATTAAATTCTGTGAATATAACCACGACACCATAATACCTAATTATGTCTTTAATCTATATAAATGTAGGGAACTTTTATAATTTAACACCTTAATTTTGAAATCTGCCACCCAACAATTGCAATTGGACCGTAAATACTGTGTTAGAGATTGTACTTTGTAAATTAACAAATTAAACAACTTACCCTTTTTCTTTTAAAATCTGCGGCCTTCTTGAAGACCTCTTAAGATGGGCGTCCACTTTTAGCATATGGCAGCTATTTAGCCTCATGCTAATGATACCTTCTCGAATTAGCATTTAAAAATTTAGTTGAGTAGCCCCTCAACTTGCAGTTATTAGGTTACAAAACAGCTTTTTAAACACTCTAAACTTACCTTTTGTAGAGATAACTAATAAGGTCGTCTTCATATTCCAGTTTTATCTGTTATAGCACTATCTAAAAGATCTAAAGAGTTTTTCTTTTTGTATATGTAAATTGAGGGTTGACCGTCTAAACATTCAAGGGATCTCGTGACCCTCACGCTCTTTCTATTTTTTTGTCTTTTGCTGTTGTCTTTGTTTGTTAGATGGTGAGCGCTGCGCTCAGGCGACTCGAGCAATAAAATGAACAACACAGCTCTTCTTAATTTAATTAACTCTATATTATTTTCTTTGTGATCAATTTAAAATATTACTCAATTTGTTTATAATTATATTAGTTCTTGGAGTTAACATTTATAAAATTCTGACAATTTTTACAATATCGCTACTTTCATAGAGAATTAGTTTACACCCTTACACTCAAGAGGAGATCCGATAAAATTTATGCTAAAACGGTTTGTAAGATTTTACTGTTTATTTTTGACTATAAAAAAAACACGGCATAACTGCATAAATATAAAGTTTTGCTTAGATAATATATAGATATAACGGCCGTAGTGTTTCAGGGCAATGAATAAATAAATTCTGCTCTTGTGTCTACTTACTCCTTTTCTAATCCCTCTTTATTTTTATCTTTTGGCTCCTGTGTACATACTTATATATTATTATACAATTTAACTGTTTGTTATAAGCTAACTTAGTTTTTTCCCATCATCTTAACTTTCGCTGAGTAAAGTTTTGTTTTTAAACCCAAAAATGTCAATAATTAAGTTCACAATAATAAAGTTATAAAATAAATTCATTGATGTTAAACATACCCACTACTAATTGGTTTATATTATGGGTGATAGAATAAAATTAGGCAGCACTGATACCAAACTTTTGCGCGTGCATTTTAAAAATAGTCTGAGATAATTTTGTAAAAGCATATTAAGCCTTTTTTAAGGGTTAGATTAAAACCGCTGGTAACCGTGGGGGCCTAAGTAGATGTAGTGCTAATAGTTCTTTTCTCGAACCTATTCCGGATGACGAGGGTCCGGTACCGATACAAATCCGCGACACTTCTCAGTCCTTCGAAGCAACATCCTTCGGAAGATATACGAGCCCAAAATCAATACTAGGTGGTCTGCGCTCCACTCCCCTAGTTTCTGCAGGTCTTAAAAAAATAAGTATATAGACCTCATTCCTAATTTAAATTAGTGCGCTTTCTCGCCTGCAAAATTAAGTTAACTGCATATCCTTTTGCTTGTAATCAAATTTGTTCCAAGTGTGAGGGTGGACACCCCAGTGGGCAGTGTTATTTTTACTAATAATATATATACTTGTATAATCTAACGGCAAAAGTTTAATTTAACTACGCGCAAAAGTATACTAGAAAGTTGTAATTATAGTATTTCGTTTTTATGCCTCTTTAACATTATTAAGCAAATCTACTACATTAAATACAAGCCAAATATTTTCTTTATGCTGCGCGTCAGGGTTTAAATGGTGCAATAGCGGTTGATCGTAATTAATCTTTTAGGAGCATAGTTTTGTTAAGAAATCGCAAAAAATTGTAAAGGCAACTAAAGGACAAACCTCATTCAACACATTAAAAAAGAAGACAATACACATCACCTCCCCAAAAACTGAAACTCAGCTATAATAATACAGAGCAGTAAGCCCAAAAATTATCAAAAACTAAAATGTTTTATAGAGGTATTTTGAAATAAAAATAACTTTTCTATAACCAATTTAGTTAATTTTTGTCCAATTAAGATGTCCTAAAAAGTTACTTAAACTGCAAAAGAAAACTTTATAAAGCTACTGCAGGCGAATACTTTCCCTAAAATTGCTATATCACAACGTAAAGAAAAAATTCCGATCCTTTCATCATCCTCCTCATCCAGTTTTCCTTCGTTTATTAATTAGAATTAATTTTAAAGCTCTAGCACGCCAAAAAGTCACCGCAATCAAAATAAAAATTCGAAAAATTATTTATTATAAAATAATATTTAAACGTTGTTTTTATGCCAGTTTTGCTGCAAAGAAGAATCACGCTCACTGTATCCAGTATAAGTGTGCCCGTAACTGTGACCCAACCTGTTAAAACCACTCGAATGATGAGAGGGTATATAACGAACACCCGATTTTAAATGAGGTTGAAATCGATTTCGGTAGCTACCATTACAGGTTTCGAGGTCATTATTATTTATGTCGTTACAATTATCAATTTCACAGTCAACATTATTATTCTTAAGTTTACCATCACTATCATGACATATATACTCTGCGGGTGCTCTTTCGCTATAAGCAGGCACTTCCTTAGTTAAATCGTGGCCTTCAACCTGCTCATTCTTGCCAATAAAGCTTCGCGGGTCCTTGTTATTATCCAATATAGTTACATTGAAGTCGCTGGTGTTCTCACTAGTAGACGTTAAAGTTCTACTAGTGGTGTGATCGTTAAGCTGACGGGTGCTACTACTCATTTCAACAAGCGACAAATTAGAATTAGTAGCATTGCGATTGGATGGCCCAGTATTCCCTAAAGGGGTGCCATGGGCTAGTCCACCAGACATCGTAGAACGCGGTATCTAATGCAGGCTGTTCTAGTAGAGCTAAAAAAGCATATTAAAAAACACAACCTGCCGCGGTTGACATTGCTGACTACAGCAACCCAGCTCGTCATCGCCCGCAGTGGAATGCATCAAACCCTGCACTAGGTGCTGTGAAGCAAAACTATAAGCGGAATGCATGGAAATGGGATCGTAATAATGCTGTTGCTTAGAATACTGGACGCCTTTATCAAATATGCCAGGTAATATTAACATCCAAGTTATACGCTAATATAATAAACCTATTCTAGGAGCGTGGTATTGAGGATGCACCGAAGCGTATGAAAAAGCGGACGTCGTTGGATAAAAAGACTGAAAATGGGGGGCTTGTTGGTAAGCTGAAGGAAGTTGCGGTCGAAATTGACGCTGAGGAGCGTGCCGGCCATTCCGGTGAGGGTGTTGAGAGGAGGGCTCTTGCTTCTGTCCAAGTGAAGTGGGTTCGGATGGTGCAGGAGTTGCCAAAGAGCTCAGTGAACTTAAAGGCCGCATATAAAGGGAATGTAAAGCGGGGACGTCCGAGCACGAGACATCGCCATTATCTCTTGAGGGAAAGGGGCACTCATAGTATGGGCTCCTATCATCAACATACATAGCTGGTACCTTGAAAAACGAGTCGGGGAAAGATAAGGCAATTTATATACATACTGTGAACATACCGGATATGGCGGAGAAAATGAAGGGTAATAGTAGCCAACATCATAGTTCCCGCAGGAGGGGTGCTGAGGGTGATTAAAGCAGGGGTTTTGGGTGTTTTGAGTGGAAGGGGCGAGGGGGCTATGGATATGCGATAGTTCTGGGGGCTGCGAACTAAGGTGGCTTTTAAGTCGTCTCTGCTGGATAGATGTCAGCGGCTGAGCGGGTTGCTGACTTTGCTGCTGTTCTTGAGAAGAGGTGATATGATCGGAGCTTACATACGCCGGAATATGCGTGCCTTGAATAGGCAGATATGCACCAAACTGCTGATACACGTTAGGTGGTGTAGAAGAGAAGGGCGGTGGCACCAGAAGGTGTGGTGGCAGGCACCTGTCTTGAAGCGCGCCGTTGGACGTCTGGTAGGAGGGGATCGGGTGGTGACGAGTTGGGAGGGGATCTCTTGCTAGGGTAGAAGGAGCGGGGGTTAAAGGAGCTGCTGCCGAGTAAGAAATTTCTGAACCAGTAGCAAAGAGTGCCTCTTCTTTGGTGGCGTTTTTCCAGTTTGTGTCCAGCCCAAACTGCAAATTTAAAGTACCTAATTATTATAAGTTATTAGTTGAAATAAAATTAACACTTAGAAAAGAAACCAAGCCCAGTTGAGTGAGAAGTAGGCATAATTACGGGCTGCGCAAAGTAAGGCCGTTCATCGTCCTGTGACTTCCGATCCTTCGCCACTCCTAACGGCCGGTCAAATAACGAAGAATCCGAGGAAGTCACAGACTCATCGTCTCCGACCAACGTAGCTGTTTTGTTATCAATAGTTTTTGTAATTTCTCTGCAAGGAGAATCATAATTATTTTCATCTCGCGAAAGCGAGTTGCTCTGTTCCATATTCAATGCTTAAAAAGAACAGGATAGAGAACACTATAAGTCCCATTATTCTATAAAATTTACCTTCCTTGCCTGGAGGGACAGGTGACTGAAATTCTTGCTCCGAAGTGCCAACCAAATGCGAAGAGGGAGGCGACTCGTCATTGGCTTTGCTACATTCCACTTGGTTTCCTTCCTCCGATATGCTAAGCTGCTGCAAAGTGAGTGATGCGATATAAGAAATATAACGGTCTAGCAAGCCTGGTCGGTTATGGACTGAACAAGTTGTTCTTCAGAGATCTGGCAATTAGCCTGAGTCTCCACGCTTTTGTGAGCCCTACTGAAGTTGGCCCATGTTTGAGCCGGTGTACCTAATATATTGACAATTCCGACGTCATAAACTTAAGTTAATGAACAAAAGACACCTGCAACGAAAGGGGCGGTCTGTGCAGTCATTTCTAAGTTGCAGTTTGGGGTATTGGGCGGCAGGAGTTGCCCAGAGGAGGAGCGTTGGGAAGAGTTGCGTTGTATTAAACTTCTATAAGAAGGTTGGCTCGTACTATTATGGCGAACAGACTTACTACAGGTCTCATAAACGGGCGCAGTGGGCAAATAGGAGACACCCTGTAGTTCAATATTTTAAAAGTTTACCAAACTTAATACTTATATTAACTGTTACGCTCTTTTTTAAAGCACCTTTAGGCCTTTCACTAGTGCCTAATAGTTCCAGTTATAACAATTAACCGAAAAAAAAATTTACAAAGTACTTTCTAGCTTAATAGAAAAAAAGGAACCTTTTTGGGTACTTTTCTGTAAGGGAGATAGCCTTTTCCCTATATATAAGGTAAACAAAAAAAAACTTTAGCACTCTATGTAAAACAACCCCTTTCTCTGACTGTAAAACCAGAGTTATTGGCTCTGACTTGCCGCTCAGATTTAAAATCTTAATTATATCAATTACAAAAAATAACAAAAAAAAGATTTATATTTATAAAACTTTTATTTTTAAGCTCGGGTCCTTTGCTTTCTTTATTTTTTTTTTTGCCCACCTGCTTAAAATCTCCCTGAGAGCCGTCAAGAATAGCGTTGCTATTATTATAAAGTTATAGATAAGTGGATAAAAGCGTTTATCATTAGGCAACACATGTAATACGAGATATATCAAACCAAGTTTTATCCACATCAAAACCGTTGTCAGTTAGAATAAACATAATTTGATCATCGCTTAAATTTGACAAAGAAGCATCTTTAACAATTTTAACTTTTTCTGTATTTTATTAATATAAAAAAATGTATAAAAAAAGAAGGAGGCAAAATACTTTGAATTTCGGCGGTGGATAAATTACATTTTACAATTTTGACAGTGTCAGCAATTCTCAGCTGTTCCTCAGTGGGTTGACAAGTAAGGACCATAGTTATAACCTTAAATAACGATATTAAAATATTATAAGAAAAATTTTAACGATTTCCTACTTTTTATACAAAAACAATGATAGGGGCATATATAAGCGGTTGGGTTCCCCAAGAGAACCAAGAAGTAAACTAAGGTGATTTAATCACGCTGAACAACGCAAATGGCCTGTAAGGGGAGTAGAAAATTGAGGACGCTGAATCAGCGGGAGGGCATATATAACGTGGCGTTATGAACGACACCCCGCCAGAGCTGAACAGTCAAAATACCACGACCTTGCTCTGCCTATATAAACTTTACTAACTAAAAAATAATTTAAAAAAACATAATTTTATTTTAAAATTAAATCCAATAAATAGTGAACTATTAAATGCTAACAATTATAATCATATTTCATAAAATCTTATATCAGACTTCATCATAGTTGTCGATACATAAAATTTTTTTAAATAATGTCGTATATGACACCTTACTCTCTTCTAATCTTTTTTATTATTATAATTATTTTTTTATATATACTTTATATTATCCTTATCTCATTTTTTATAAACATTTTCTTTCCCCTTTTTAAAAATTTTCTCGACCACTTTTGATTGAGAACCCAAGGTCTTCGAAATTGTTGACTCATCGAGATTAAGAAAAAGTTTACAAATAAATAATAATAATAATAAAATTTTGAAATTTTTTGCTTCTTTAATAAATATCTAGTTGCTTATATGTTTATTTGATTTCATATATATATATGTATATGTATTTTACATTTTTTATGATTTATATCCTGTTTTTTTCCTTACACTTGAATCTATAGTTACTTGACTTCCCTATGAATGCCCTTTTTTCTAAATACACTTACCAAACACCTTATTGATAATTAACTAGCTGTCCATTGTGAACTTAGTTAGAAACCACAAATTTAAAAAAAAACGATCTTTTAAGAAAAGGTAAAAAGAGAAAAATGAAGTTAAAACCAAAAATAACAGTAATTCCAATATGTCAGTAAACCCTGGACCTTAGCAAAATTATACTTGAACATCGTGAGATATTACAGATTAGATTACTGGAAAAAAAAAAAAGCTCTTAAGAACATACTCCCAATAATATGATGGCATATGTTATGATTTAATACTCAATAATTGATTTCCTGCTTCTAAAGGTGGGTAACACTTGTGGCGTGATGAGAAAGCTAATAGCTTAAGAGCCCATTACTCCATCGATTAAGCGTTAATTATAATAGTTAAAAGATTGCGATTATTTAAGTAATAACTTAGTTAATTATACAGTAATTTTTTTATTTATATGCAAATTAGTAATGATAATTATTTTTGTAGTAAGGTTTAATTAATAGATATTAGTTAATTTAATTTTTTTTATTGATTACAATATATTAGTAAGCTAGCTTCCACAGTTAATAAAAGATTAAAAAATTGTGACCCGTTCTCAAACTGGAAGATCGCGATAGATTCTTTTCTTAATAGGAAGTAAGCTTGTTGCGTCCCTACAAATGTTCTGCCGATTTTTTCACGCTAAATAGCAGGTGATATAGCAGTATGACACCTATCGAATGTTTAAAATTCATTATTTCAAGTATTGACTCAAGTCTTTATCCCATTGGTTTTAATTCTTAAAAGCCAAATGATTGGGACGGAACTGAAGTAGGAACCGCTATAAAACTTAACGAAGTTAAATTACTTCAGGATGAATACCATCAAATTAATTGATTAAGAGAAGAGAGTTATCATAAGCTAAGTTAAAGCAGGAGAAACTGTCACAATATTGGAAAACAGAAGAAATGACTTGGCGGAGAGGAATAACGCAACTCCAACTTTTTTATTACAGAGGATATAAATTCGAACAGATTTTTAGAGCTCTTCCAAATAATGGCAAATGCAGTCTGTTTAAAAGCATAGTGCTTAAGCAAAAGGAAATTTTTGAAGAGAAGATTACTTATAGATTCGGCGTGAAACTAGAAGAAGCTTGACAACTTAATAACGTTAAAATTGATAGTTCTCATGATGCCTTAGAATCGGTGAAGAAGGCTATTAAAACATTTAAAAGTTATAATCGTTTTTATAAGGTACAGTTTAATTTTGTTGTTCTGAGGAGACAGGTGCATTCCGGTAATTCTCCTACTCAAAAACAAGCCTGCATAAGATAGGCAGGTTTGAAAATTCTAAAAATCTCTGTTGTTATATTAACACTATATGCCGCTATTTTAGAAACGTCAGTCACATCGAGAGGCTTTGCAAGATAAAGCTTAGTAGTGAAAGATATAATGTACAAGAATTTACAAAATCGGGCTTTAATGCTCGAACTCTTAGTCCGCAAGGTCATGAATACTTTAAAGCTAAAACCTGTTCTCATTTGGTTAAGAAAATACATTCTGACTCCAGTTGTTTATTATTAATGTGACAAGTCTAATTGAAAACTTTAGACCTATTGAAGAATCGAAACAAGGTCACTGGAGGGGGTAATTAAAATAGTGGCAGGGCCTGGTGTCCTCGCTTTTGTGAAGGATTTATAAAGCGTCGACGACCTATGTAATAAGAAGAATGCTGTACTGTTTAACCATGTTAGTGCCATATTAATAAACAATGAGGAAAGCTGACAAATTTTTTTTGTCTACTGAGGAACATCAAAAAACAGCTCAGAAAGGTAACAACGGAATTTATTACATAATATCAGGAGTGGATCTAACTTGAATAGCATAGTATAATAGATCGATTGACCCACTAAACTTGCAAAAGTTTAGAATTGTATTTAAAGGTATTGAAGAAAACTTATATTGTATCATCTGAAAGGGCCCAATATAAAAAGAAGAAAGTTCAAGGAAACATTTACAAAAATCGTTCTAGACTTAATAGCTGTGAGGAAATTAAATATAAAATTACACGGCCCTTACCCGTTAACATTGAGCGGAGCTTGAGGGGCTAATTCTATATATTGAAAACGAACCAGACACATGTGTAGTTAAACTATGTTTCCTTTGTGATAGCGGATTTTTAAAAACGACTTGAGATAACAAGTATAAAGTGAAGATAATCACCCCGGACAATACAAAGGAATTTACCTTTGTGTCTTGACTTTCCATGTCCAAAATTAGAGGGGCACCTCCCATCTTTACCGCGCCCCATTGTAGACTGATATAACGGCTTATTAAAATCTATGACCAATAGTTTCAGGAGACCCTTTGTTTAGTAATTTCTGGGCTAAAACTTTGAATTATGCTACCCTAATGTATATTAAAACTCAAATTTCTTGATAAGATATCCTTAACGTTGATCCTGATGTAAAAAATTAAAAGAATTTCGGTATACAAGCCTTTTCTTATAATGTTAAATTTGGAAATGGCACGAAAGAAACTCTCCAAAGCTCGCAGGAATTTTTATCGATTTTATGATGACTTTGGTCAAAAGCAGAAGTTTAGAGAATTTCCTTTGGGACCTAACAACATAAAAAGTTTAGTCCCATTGAGCAATGATAAATGTTATTTTCGAATGTTTTTTAAAAGGTAGGAAGAAAGCGACTCCTTTGACAGTAGCCAAGAAGCGGTATTAGAATCTAAAGATGGAGAGGATACGAGGGGCGCCACGCCAAGCAATAATATGTAGACCAACATTAAGCCCGAGTTTGGTGATGATACCCACGCATGCGAATCGCTTCTGGTTAGCGAGGGAAAGTAAAGTTTCAAAGCATCCGAACATTATTATGGTAAAATGGTACCGTTTCGGACGTTAAAAAAACAGATTGAGAGATGAAAGGGGTGTGTTAAGATTTTAATAAAATTTGTAGAATATATATAAACTATAATAAATATGTTAAAAATTGTATATAATATGTGTATAATGATGTGATATAGGCAATATATAAAATAAAAATAGTATAAATAAAAAATTCAAAAGTTTAAACAGTAAATGCTTGCTTTATTGATCAGTTTTAGTTCTGTATTTATTACCTTTACAAAAGGTCAAAAAATGCTTCCATATTTGTATAATTAAATTTAAGTAACCTAGATTAGTTTTTGTAAAGTTTTACTTAGTTTACTTTGTATCTAATTAATAAAGGTGGCCAAATTATTTTGTAAATGTTGTCGAAAAATTTATTCCCTTGTATTTTTTTTGGTTGTTTCTCAGGTATTGATTGGTATTCACTAATCATTTTTCTTGTGGAAATTTAGGGGTTTCGTTTTCTGTATCTTGTTTTATGGTTAGCGTATTTAATGTTTAATGTAATTTATTATTTTTTTATTTTCCATATTTTATTTTTGTTCCTTTTTTTATTACATTTTTCTTGTATTTTGTGTTTTCTATATTTTGTATTTTTTACTGTCTTCGGTGTTTTCGTATGCTGTGTTATTGGGTTAGTCCTAATAACTTAAGGTTTGCGTCCACTTTTTGACGTAGTGGGGGTTATAACAGCCTAATAATCAATGGTACCGATGACAGTAATTAGTATATAAACAACGTTAAACGTAACTCTATAAAAAGTAGCATTAGTAATAATACTAGCAATAGTTTTTACAATATCGGTGACTGCCAGACCACAAATTTTATTGATAAAAGTAAAACTAGCACCACTACCCGTTTTATTTAAGTAACTTTAACAGTAACAACTAAAATAGTAATTTTAACTTTACTAAAAAACACTGGTGATATAACAAGTTATTTTAAAAAAAACATTGTAGTTCCTTGTTAATATGAACAAAATTATCTTTATTTATTTGCAGACGCTAAAAGTATTACACAAGAAACCAGGGTCTATCTCCACCTAAGTGATTTAAGAAAACTTACCCTCTTATTAGATTTGTTATTCGCGGAGTTTATAAAGAATGCCCCTCCAAAATTAAATTTAAACTTATAAATTAAAGATTCCACCCCACTCAGGGTCCGTTCTTAATTTAAGTTTAGGTACTTCAGAAAAAACTGTCATTTTTAGTTTTAACAATATAGGGCTTCTTAGAATCTTAGATAAATCTATAAAAAATAGTGATAGAATTTAAATATTGCACTTCATTGACTCAATGCGTGAAATGCGGAGTAAGATCATAAGCCCAAAGCTTGCGTTAAGAGATATAAAGAAAAACCTACCTGCGCCTAATGTCAATTGTGCATTTAAAGACATATCTACGCAAGCAACAAATAAGTTGTTCTAAAAGTTCAGCATACATTCTTACTAACTATTCCCTGTTATGAAAAGGAAGGCTATGCGATCTATGGCACCCTTGTCTTCACAACCTAAAAGTTAAGTTCGAGTAAGACCAACTGGAGAATGCTCTTCTATGTTAAGCCTGGAGCTTTTCAACGGTCATGAGATCTACTCTTAATCAGTGAAGGGTTCGTAAATAAAGGGCTCTTGGCCATGTTATTCCAGTGCCATAAATATAAACATATATATAATAGTAAAGCATTATGGTAATATAAGCACAAATAAAGAAAAAAAAGTTTTTGTTTTTCTGCGTATTATATCCATATGGATGAAGGTAAAACCAGAATAAGTTTTTGCTCTTATATTATGTATGTTTTAATTTAAGTCGTGAAGAGGTTAATAACCTGAAAGCTGCTACCGTTTATTTAGTGATCAGAACAATATAACAAAGTATTAGAAGAAAACCCTCTTCTCTATCCCAGTCTGTGTGACCAGTCCCCTCCTTCCTCTTCCATCACTCGTGCAAGGGAAATTATGTGTGATAATTATTTTATCAGGTACCACAACCTCAACTATAGGAAGTAATTAGGTTAAACTTGTAAAAGACTAAGAATTATAGATTTTTTAGAATTTAACGTTGTAAACACTATCACACTTTATTACTAAGATCAAGAGAAACCTTGTATAGTAATCAGCGAAAAGTTTTTGCTAGGGGCACACCTGCTTGGATTAAAAAATGGAAGAAAGTAAACACTAAGCTTGTGTTAATTTTAATTTTTTTTTAATTATCATGAACTGAGCTACACTATTTTTGACATTTTTATATACGTGACAAGTTTATAAACATATGCTTGTGATTTCTTTATAGGTTCCCAGTTCAGCAGAGATGAAAGTGAACCACAAGTAAGCACGTAAGCTAAAAACCGCATATTTATTTACTTTTTATATATACTTTATTACTGTACAAGTAACTTGTCATTTTTAGTGATGTCTTTAACTCGTATAGTAGGGCTTTTACTATAGAATCTTTTTACAAGGAGTACGCGAGAATTAAAGAAGCCCGTGTTACCAACATAAGTATAGTTCTATATCTTTCAGCTATTCATGTACTTTACTATTTCTTTAAAAGCTGTTAAACGACCTAATGAAGATTATATGAAAAAACTTGACTCTACGATTAAAAAAAACTCGGCTTTTGTTAAAAGGCTACGCAACCTTAGCGAGGATCAAGTGATTTTCTAATATTTTCTTTTCTTATATTTAACTTTGAATATTTATTATTTTTTGGAAAGAGTAAAGCGTTGGAACATGATTTTCTAAATTTAAATCTGACCAAGTACATCAGCGAGGCAGTTAACGCCATTTGCGAAGCCAAGTTGAAGACTTCTGACGTCAGTATGTTGTTTGCAAAGTCTTTTGTTGCATCTTTATTAACTCTATCAGTTACTGCTGTTAATCTCTGTTCTCTGTTTCATCGACGTTATTCGGATTTTAAGCTTCTATTTACTACTTCTATTACCAGAATTTTTTCGGACGTTCTTTCCTTTGATAAGGTTTACCTTCTTAAAAATATATTTTTTTATACAATATTATTTAATTTAGAAAGAAAAGGGGACTTTAAAAAATGACGATCTTTCTAAAAACTTGAGGAAGTACCGAACAGCTTTACGTCTTCTCGGCGCACTCGTTGTTGAGGGTTTCTTTTTCAATTTTTTATTTTGGTGGACCATTTAACTACCGAACACTAGGAATTGTTGACGACTACCAACTTTTGATTAATATACTTTCTGACGTGTGTGGAGTTGATGAAGGACAGTACCTTTTTTTAACGGCTGTCATATCTTTTTTAAAAGGATCCGGGGAGGTTGTCTTTTTGTTTGTAGCGTGAGTGTGCGGAATTCGGATTTCTGATCTTCACCTCTACAGCTTCTTCTCAACGCCCCTTCCCGATCGACAAGGCTTCTATTGGAAAAACATTGTTGCTCTCTTCCAGCGCTTAATAGTAGTTTTTTTGCCGTTCCTTTTATGAAGCAAAATATCGGTATACTAAAATAGTTTTGCCCGAGGAGTGTAGAAGCCGTCTGAAAAGTGTATTGGGCCGGTACTTTTGCTCGGCCTCGGGCCATTTACTTCAGTTTGATGTATAACCGCACGCAGTCTCCCTTTATTTTGATAATGCCCCTTTTAGTTTGCATGAAGAGCTGCACGATATGGAACAACAAAACCATTCCGTGCTCCAGCTTAGAGGATTTCTGAGCGCAGACTCAAAAGTACTGGATGTGTCGTGCTTTCTTAATAAGAGAAAAAAACTCATGCACATTTTCTAAGGAGGCTTATGAGAAGCTTCTTGTTAGTTACGAGAAGATGATCACGAACGTTACCGCGCTGGCTGATCTACTAGATCTGGAGGTGCCCCAGTTGCCCGTTTATACTGCAGAAGCTACGCGGTTATTTTATAAGAACTGCTCACCACATATCGTAGACAGACTTATGAGCACTACCAGCCTAACAGAAGGACCCGGCCAGGGCATCGAGCTATCTGATCCCTGCGAAAATTCGGAAGGTCCTTCTACGTCTTTTATGGGCTTCTTATTAGTTTGGATGCGCTATCTATTTAGTGAGTGTCTGGGACGACTGGGAGCAGAGATCCTTTTATGAAGACCTATTAGATCTTAAGAAAGCCGTGCCTGGTGGTTTATTGGAAAAGCAGGGTAAGCTTGTGACTTTTTTTTAATATCAGCTTAATATTTTGCTTTATAGCATCCAAAAATTTAGAGGGCGAAAAACAAAAAAGTAAAGGAAAGGGGCGGGGGTTCTCACTTTATCACTCAAAACGCTGCTTTAATTAAGCAGGAGATGCTGAGGAACCCAAAGAAGCTCCGCGCACGACACTGTTGACCCAGCTCGACCAACTCCTTCTTCGGTTGACCAGTTTTTCACCTTTTTTGGGCTGCTTGCCACTAGCCTCTCTTGTACAGCATGCCTCTTTGCGTTAGTAAAGATGATGCGGATAAGATAGCTGTTGACTTTTGCTTCTTGAACGCGAAATCTACCAGGAAGAGGCTAGTCAAGGCTCTCTTTAACATCCCCAGAACTAGGTCGGGCCTTTCGACCTCCTTCCACCGTGCTATGTTTACTTATACAGCTCTTTAGATTGGATCTCATCCCGTACTACGCGAGGCTCGCTGCGGTTGTTAGCCCCCATTTGCCCGATGTAGGCTCTAAGCTCGCCCAGCTTCTTGACGAAGAGTTTCAGTGAGTGTCTTTGGTCGTGCTTGTTCGAATTTGCTACTCACCTAGTGCATCAGACAACATATGCAGAAAAAAGAGCAAGGGAACCTAGAGGCGCGCATACGCAACGTCCGCTTCATCGCCGAGCTTACAAAGTTTTCTATTGTCCCTCATCGGGTCGCTTTGGACTACTTTCAAGTATGTTCTTGCGCCTTTTTTTCTTTTGCTAAGCCGCTTCTGCCGGTATACTTTCCTGCAGGCGCTGCTCAATGATTTTACCCACCACACAGTTGACGTTACCTGCCACTTTCTAGAGAATTGCGGCAGGTTCAAAGTTCCTCTCTTCCAGCGACTGCTTTTTCTTATATATAATGGCAGATACCTTTACCGCTCCAGCCAAAGCAGTATTCGTTGCAAAAATCTTTTGGGCGTTATGATGCGAAAGCGTCGGGTTTTGCATCTGGACAACCGGCAGACCACAGCAGTGGAGAATGCTTACTACTTCTGGTCTTTTTGTTTAGTTAATCTCCTATCGCTCTTTACTACTTTGCATTCGGTTTGCCTTGTAGTAATCCTCCTGACAGGCTTGCCTATAAAAAAAGTAACCGCACCCCCACCCAGTTATACATACAGAAGCTCCTTTATAAGGACTTAAACAAAATGTCTGTGGAGCGCGTACTGAAGCAGTTGCGAAAGCTTAACTATGAAGACCTTACCACCTTGCATTACGTAATCTCCTCCTTGTCGAAGCCGTGGAAGGTTCACTTTGGTCGCCCTCATGTTGCCGGTCTGCTTTTCTAAGTCACCTGCAGGTCAAATACTACAACGTGTACTGTCTCGCTTCATTGGTTGCTGGCCTTTCAAGATGGTGCAGTTGTCTGTTTTTTCCTGTGCTTGTGGCTACTCAACGTTCTACCGACAGGTATGATGAAGTTGGGGTCTGCGTCGTCGACGATCTCCTCGAGGAAGTACGGATCGGGTTGGAGGTCCGCGTCTATCACCATGTGTCGTTTGCCCTTCTACTCAAGGCGACCCGCTCTTAGACCAACATTGTCTCCAATAATCAAAGGCGCTTGACGGTTGTTAAGTTTTTAGGCGAAGTGCGCGTTTTTTCTTTCACCTCAATTAGAATTTCGGTTATAATATTTCTGTAAGTTGTACAACTTCAGGGTCTTGGATTCCTCCACCTTGTTTGACACGATGTACACTATCCTCTTTTTTTCTCATAACGTCGTGAATTCGGGTACTTTTCACCTGTATGTTTTTTTTTATTCATTTTTAAACTTCTAGTTCAGACACCCCGTTTGCATCGCCTCTCGATGGCCCGACAGATTATTTTAGAATCCGCCTCATGTAAAATTGGTATACTAAGTATTTCACACTCACACTTAGTGGCTATTGCGTCAGTTGTGCATTCATCGACACCTGCGCTCCTTACTTTGATAGCTCATCCACTAAAAAGAAATTTAAGTACTACTTGCATTACTTTCAAGTAAGTCCCGTATAGTTCTGGCTCTCTTTTAGAACTGTGGGTCCAATAAAATTATGGTTTAGTGGTATATACTTTCAAAGAGTCAGCCGCTTCCTCTGGATATCGACTTCCTTCTGCAAGGTGTTCTCGTGCTTCCTTTTATAGGCCTGCACTCACTCTCTTTTAAGATACATTTGAAACTCTTCGGCCGCCTTTCCGGTTGTGCGAAACATATAATCAGGCCAAGGCAGAGGTTTCTCATGTTTTTCATTGATTCATGCTGTTTTCTCTTTATTTAGAAGCTTAATTACGTATAGATTGAACGGCTACAAGAGACATTTACTAAACTTACTTTAAATTGCTTAAGCAACAATGAAGTTTTAGACGAAACGGACGAAAAGTTGTGGTTTTTCTGGACTTTAGTGACACATATCTCATCTGTTGCTATGGAAGTATGAGCGACACTCTCTTGGAACCGGAGGCTAACAGCGATGAACTTACAGCGAGTCAACGCCCGTCCTCATGTGCCGATCCGGTTTTCCTACTGTGTGATTCTTTCCAGATTATTGGAGCTGTTACAAGCATTTAGGAAGGTTCCGATGATCACGAAGAGAGCATTATTCTGCGAGGAAAGGTTAAGCAAGTACTAGTGGAAGAAGATGAAGCCTTCCTATCTGAACTCGGATCATTAATTAGTAAAATTATGGAACTGTTTACGAATGCAGATTTATTTTAGGCATTTTCAGATGAATCGCATATTTCGGGGCGGAACACACCTGGTTCCTCGGTCTCGGATCTCGCGCTACCTTCCATCCACCGTAAGGAAAACGGTGTTCCTAGCTCTCTCAGCTATCATTCTCAGTCGAAAACTTATGACGCATCTCGTCTAATAGCAAGCAAATTTTCCGAGACTTCATGGAGGGTCATGACGAGAGGGAAAGGGTGCAAACACCACTTTAAGAAAATCGAGCTTCCAAAGGTTTGTTATTGATAAGCCACTCTGCCTTTTCCATCTATTTGTTCTTTCTAGGAATCTAGCTGGGTAGTAAATTTTAGAAACAGACATCAAGAAGAAGAGGCCGAGAGGGACGAGATGAAGCGCTTTATATTGGAGTATCAAGAAAGAACGGTTGAGGAGGAGAGTAGTGGTCTCCTTTGCTGATCATCAATGTCCTTTTGTATCGTAACTGGTAGCTTTCTTTTCTACTACCAGATGGTTTTATAAAAGCCTCTTTTACTCCGCAAAGTAAGCTAAACAGAAGCCAGAAAGGAAGAAAACATTTTGTACTTGTTAAAATTTCACTTTGCTGGTTTGTGTATCTGACACTCTTTTATATGTTAGACATTACGTAGATACCAGAATTAACATTCTTGCGCAGCGCTCCCCAAGACTTACTTGAGTATCTTTTACCACTGTACAGTACGACTGCTCCTGGCTTTTTTTCGTTAAACTTTATTGCGTTTAGGAAGGTATCTGCTATTAATCAGAGACGTTATAAATAAATTCGTAATGAGCTAAAATATAATTATATCTATTTTGTTTTCTTTGGCCTTAATAAGAGGCCACTGTGGTGTGCTTTTATAGGGCACGGACAGACTAATACTGTTTTGCTTTAGCAACAAACTAATAGCTTTTAGAGATTTAAAATATTAATTTTTTAAACATGCTTCGCCTTACAGTCATCGTCTTTCCGTTGATACTCGATTGATTTTTTATTTCCATCAAGTAGTTATTGTTTAAATTAATTTATAAGGTTTTTTGGTAACTAAAAGAGCCCAAATTTAAATATAATACCGAAAATATACTTAAACTGTAGTATGCTAATTTTATAGGAAAGTCTGCTTATGTGCATACCAATTATTATGTTTGATGTTCTGAATAATGCAGTACATGCAATGGCCTCATTCTAATACGCTCCTTTTAAAAAGCTCATATTAACTCTTAGTTATGCTAAGTAATTACCTCGTTTTTTCTTTGGCAGCGCCCGTTTTTTCAATATAAATTTCTTTTGGCTAGAAGGATTATGCCATGTTTAGTGACTTTTTTTCAGCTTCGAATTTTTGGATTTCAATATTAGTATGTAAATTTAATTTTTAGCGCTGTATATACGTAAAAATATTAACTTCCGACGGGTCATGAGATATTCCTGTTCACGTCAAAAATATAAATAAGCCACCTTTTATTAATGAATGTTTGCTAACAAAAAACGTCCACCAATACTAGTGTTAGTAAAAATATAATAACCAATCAGGTACTAAAGAATTTCCAAACAAGCTGAACGGGTTGAAGCGGGAGAGTGGGCTCGCCTAACAATGCTTCTACTTTTTCAAGTTTCGGAAAGAGCACGAAGTTGCAGCCGGGCAAAGGAATAGTGAAGATATTTTTATTAAAGACAGTTAAACTACTACAGTGACGAATAGAATCTGATTGCTTATGGAGAAATATACAGTAACAAGAGGTTCACATAAATATAAAAAATGGTAAGAGTCAGTAGGGTAATTCATACACAAAATGTTGACCTTTGTCTAAAAAAATGGCAAACTACTTGGTAATTAGTAAAAAATTATATTGGAAAATTGCATCCTCACGATATAAAATAAATAAACGTTAAAACATTTTTTAAAATAAAATAAAATTATCCTGTATTTTCAGTAGAAAAAGACAGCAGCAAATCATGTTTCTTATAAAGATATGCTTACCACACATAAAGAAATATATGAAGAGTAAAATTTTTAAGAAATTATAAATACGTTACACCAAAAATAATTAGTTAAATAATTAAATTTTATCAAATAGATAGTTAAGTTAAAGGAAATTACAGCGCATCCAATGGTTGCGGTACTCACGAAATCGGAGTCCGTAAAAAGTTACTTCTTCATTAGAACACGATAGAAGTGTTGTAAAATTGTTAAGGTGATCTATCAGTAAATATAAGGAAGAAATAAAGGTACCGATGTAGAGAACAGCGTACTTCTGGGGGCAAATAATGGCGGCATACTACCATTTGGCCCAGGTGTCGAAGAGAAGTGAGTTTTCCTAAGTCCTACAAAGGATAGAGCGCCTTTTGGCATCAAAAAATTCAAATATAAAATTCTTTGAGCTTAAGAAGTACTGAATGGCTGTGATTTGTAAATTAACGCCTTTGAAATACGCCATATGATTAAATGTGTAATATATGTGCATTCTGTCCTTTCAAAACTTCATTATTTAATAAACAAAGTAAAGGGCGCTCTATGTAATAGTGAATGTATACTTTGTACACCACAAACGTTTGTAATAATTGTATTAGAAAATTTCAAATGTATAAAAATTTTTTATATACCGCTTAATTTTAATAGTAAATGTATTTTAACCGCAAACACTTAAGCAGACATGAGGTTTTACTAAGTGAGTACAAAGTATACAATGAATGCGATAGATAGATAAGAGCAGCAGCAGGGAGATGCCCATTTTAGAGGTTGGGCTTGTTAGAGGCTTGAACAACCCATGAAAAAAAAAGTAAAGCGGAATTTTCGTCTGAACTATCGGGACTTTTGTGTCGTGTTCAGTTTGAATTTCCTGAAAAAGTATAATTAATGAACCTCATAACAATTATAATAATAGTATTTGTAGGTGTAGGTTTAATAAATTCTTTCCTCGTAATATTATATTATAAATATATATCACAAGTTTATAACATTTCTTAACGAATTTTTATAAAACTTTAAGCCGACTTATAAAAAACCTGATTGGCTTCTATACACTTCAACATTTCGTGCTTTTCACTTAGCCATTCCATACAATGGAGAAGCAGAAGGGATCCTTAAAGGTCGTTAACGTTTCTTAAACAACTAACGCATAACAATATCAAAACAAATATTTTGAAGTATAGTTTCATTGAATTTCCTTGTACTAACGCCTAAAAACTAAGCCAGCTAAGAAGCGCGAGTTCAAAAACTTGTAATACTAGTTGCAGGGTACACTAATAGTATTGTGATGTAAAAACATTAAAACGGAATCAAGAGTAACTATAACGAAGCGATTTGAGCATTAACGCGTAAACTTTTCAAGTACTGGGTTGAGGGTTTAATATCGCCCTTATATAATTATTTTTAAAATATACAAATACACTTGTTTACAAATCTATAAGTTCTTAATTATTAAAAATTATTTTTTTGCGAGTTATGGGTACTAGTTTTACATAAAATTAAACTTATATCTTCATTTAATGGATTGATTTATCTGTCGCCTCTTCTTAGCTTTTATAATCACATTAAGTGTCACACAATTAATACCTATATTTTATTTTTTAAATTATAAATACGATGAGTTCAAGTTTAGAATTTAATGGCTAGCATGGTGTACTATGATGTGTATATGGTAGTTTATAAAACATATTTAAAATTATTTCATAAGGTTAATTAATAAAATAATTCATGATTAGACACCGTAAATCATATAGCACAACCATAAAAAGAAGTTATATACTAGTGAAATATATACTTCACAAGTTTTTAAAACTAATATGATAAAAGTGTCTGTGCACGGTGGACTAAGTTGGAATGAGAAAGAGCGGATGCTACGAATTTTTAATAATAGGATTGATTGCTCGCTGGCTAAAAAGGGGTGGACTTCCGGATTCTTCGGACGGACTTAATTAAATCCTCTAATTTTTAAAAGATTGGAAGTTGCCTTCATGTGACTTTTATATATTTACCCTTATCCATTACTCTCGCCCACTGTAGACTAGTTACGAACTACCAAATGTTTTAAAGGATATACTAAACTTTAAAGCAAAAAAAAATTTATATATTAGCACTTCTTAGTTTCTTAAAAGATACTTAATTTCTTATAGAATTATTGATCTGGGTGTACTTGACCCGTTTTAATTATTCTCCCCTATAGAGTTGGAAGGGAATTAAAGGGGAGGGGCGTTGGATAACATACTTTATTAGGTTGCTTTACGGCCAGAGACTGCAATATATGTATAAATTAGTGGCTTTTGCATTCTCCTGCCAAGGCCAGTGATTGCAGATTATAAGCTCTCCAGCAACAACTAAAATTCTCAGAGAACGAAGCCCTGGTTACGAAGAACCCTTCAGTCCTTATATGTGAGTATCTTAACTCTAAGAATCCCACTTCTAACATTCATGCGTCGTTACCCAAACGATCATATCCGCTACACTTACATCAGCGAGCGCAGAATTCGTGTCGTATACCCACAGTATCCAACGCACATAGCGAAGACGGTAACATTAGGAGTATACGGGATATAGCTGTTTTAACGGAAATTAAGAGGTTTAATACAAACCCAATCCAATTTGTACGCCTTAACCCTGTTTGAGGCTCGTAAATTAGGTTTTCGTTACTTTTTTTCCGCACTCTAGATGTGTTGACAGGTTCTTGAGAGAATTAAAAAGTGTTGAGTAAATTAAAGTTTCTTTATTTTTTAAACTTACCTACATAACGCGTATATTTATTTTTTTTTATATATTTTAATTTTTAAAGCTAATAGCTGTTCAATTAACAAGCGTGAACTATAGTAGCTTAATGATGATTATATCGTTATTATTCTAGCATTTTAAGCTTTCTATCTTTTATATAATTTTAAAAAGAAGTCTAAGTTTTTAAAGCTAAGGGAATGAGACTTTCTAGCAACTTTGATGTTACTTAAATATAATATCAATCGGGAACCTAATTTTCTTTACAGAGTTTTTTAGCAATGGACAGAAAATATTAAGTAACTTTTTAAGTATAAACCAAAAACAGGTGGTTATTTGAAATAATCAACTATCATGTATTTCGAGGTAGTGCCAAGTAAAATGAAGGATTCGAGCGGTCCTGTGTTCGTACGCGGTTGATAATCCGTAGGAAGCAAAAAAAAACTTTCAAGGATGGCATACAAGAAATTTATTTAATTATAATATTATGAATGTTTATTTTTCTTGGGGTTTAACCGCAACGTTAACCATTTTTTTATTTAGTAACAACTTAACAGCTAAAGAAAAATTAATGGTTTCACCATTCCCTTATAACACTAGGTTTATCGTGTTGAATGTTAGCCGCGAATTGTTAGAGGATCTAATAATAAAAAACTATACTTGTTAATGTACTATAATACTAGTTGTAATTGGCAAATAATATTATAACGCAATTTTAAATACTTAATTTCTAGTTTTTTTCACTCTTCGCTGGTTAAGTTTTTATCTTCAACGCCAATTTAATAATATGGGGTTTAGGGTTTTTGTCGAATTAACAAGTTCAGTATCTATTTTACCTCCCGAACTTCTTGCCAACCTAAAATTACAGCGTAGGGTTACGCGCAATATCTTTGAGGTTATGCGCAACATCTTTGTTCTTCTGCTTTTTCTTTATTCTTCTGGGAGGTTACAGTCGCCTTATTGTGATGAATCTTTTAAGAAGTATAAGATGTGAGTATATTTTATTTGTGACTGTTAGTCCGACCCACAATACTTAATATGTTACTCGTGTTACTTACGCTCTATCTCATAACATCTGTCCCTTAAAGTGTGTAAATTTGTTGATAGCACTTTATGGTCTGTTAATAGTTAATTTACCAACGTGGGTAACTTGCACTTCAGATGACTTACAAGCCTTTACAGTAATAACTATTAAATAACTAACTAAGCACTTTATTTTATCATTAAACTTCGAAAGTATACGGATAAACTGTGAAATAAATTTTTTTTCGGGCAAGGGAATTCCCTCAGGAATTAGAACAATGTAAAATTTCAAGTATTATTTCACCTTATAGAAGAGTATGCTAATTCTTTAATTTTATATTATAAAAAATTAATCATTAGAGTTCTTCGAGGAAATTCAATCACTTCAATCGAAGCCATCTCTAACCTTAACTCTTTAGAAGAATTGTAAGTTGACTTTTAGTTTGAGTTAGGTCAGCCCATATATAAAAGTGGACTGCGGTGATCAATTTTTTGTTATTTACTTAATATGGAGTTCAACTTCTCTTAATCTATGTTCTCTGTTTTCAATTTTTTTCCTTAGGGATCTTCGAGCAAACCAATTTAGTGTAATTGACAAGAGAATGTTCAGTGGACCTAAATCTTTGACCTTTCTGTGCGTTCACTTATTATATAAGTTAATTATTTTAGAACTAAGTTTATAATTTGTTTCTTAAAATAACAAAAGTGTGCACAACACAAACAGATCAATATTTTATTCGAGCTGTTGGCGTTGACAAAAGCGTCGTGGTTTATGTATATGTTTTATGATACCAAATGATTACAAACAACTAATTATTGGTTCAGGGTTAATTCATAGACCATTTTCTGCGGAAGTAAGTAAACAGTGTGACATGGTAGCACTTTACAGATTACAAAGTGAGTTAAGAGGTTCCCGCTTTTTCCAACCAGCCATTGCTGTAGCCGCTGATTGTTAATAGGCACCTCTTTAGAATAAAGCTATAAACACTAGATGTTAATGGTAAAGAGGCGCCACTAAAGCTAAATAATATGTACGGTTACCGGGAGCTTTCCTAAGGGAGTAAAAAGTTACTTATGAAAGTGTCAAGTTCTAAGAGATTAACAACTTTAAAATTTAGAAGCACTACAATTATATTCTACTTTTAACTTATTTGAAAAAGTGACCATTATTTTATTTCTATACACAGAGATCTTGGGTATAATAATATTACCTTTGTGGAAGAAAATGCCTTTGCTAGCCTTGGTTCGTTGCAGAGCTTGTAAGTAAATCGAGAAATTTTCTTCAATATAATACTTCTTGCTTATATCTGTCCGCTTAAAATAGTTGATTTCAAGTTTCTTGCTAGTTATGTTAGCCTACCAAACTGCCTAAAAAGGGGTTATACATTTTTTAATATCTATAAGGCTTTTGGATGGCAATCAACTTGCTTTTCTTCATAAAGGCATGTTTAGAAAACTTACTTGCTTAACTTTTTTGTAAGTTTGTCGTTTAGCTTTTTTGCTTTCAATAAAATGTTTAATTTTCATTCTTAAAAACGACGGCCTTTAACGCAAGCATTATTTGAACTTTACAAAATAAACGTATTAAGTCAAATCACTACGTGCGGTTACTTTTTTATATGACTAATCGTCTCTAATGAGTGGCGGCCACCGTTTGATAGCCGGGCCACTGTTTAAAAACGTGGCTTAGTATATTCAACTGATCACTGCAACGTGTGTGTTAGTGGATAGGGATAAACCGAGGAAACGGTCGAAAAATTAAGTAAATGTTATCTATACGAGAATAGTAATAATACTTCAAATATTTGATTATATATATAATGTATTTAACCTTTCCGCCTAATTAACTGTCAGAAGCCTCCGAAACAATGTTATCCATTTCGCGGAAACTAGTGCTTTCTCTGATCTCTCTGCATTGGAGCGTCTGTAAGATTTTATATATATGAAATGACTATTGAAATCAACTGTACAATTGTTATCACCATCCATTTAGGGATATAAGCGAGAATCAACTTACCCAAGTGGAACAAGGAACGTTCAAGGGCCTTGCTAAGCTGACCACTTTGTAATATTCGCACTAAGACTTATTTAGGCTGTCAAGGCTATATATTCTGGCAATTTAAAGGGGAAAGGTCTAAAAATCTACCAAATAGATTATTACGTGTAAGCAAACTTACCCTACTCAAAAAAAGCCTGTTGCGGTCTTACTGGCTGAGCTTATTTAAGCTATTGAGTTGCCATAGATATTAACCGATTATGCATAAAAAACACTACGAACGCGAGAAGCAGCCATTTTTTCATTGTTATTAAAAAATTAATAGGATAGTTATGATAGTTCTAGCACTAATTACCTTTTTTTTAAATTTTTTATTATTGTATCTGGAGACCTGAGTCATAATAACATCCGTCGGTTTAAAAATAATCCTTTTTTTGCTACGCAAGAGATAAACAGATTATAACTTGTTAATAATATTGGTTTCAATTATAATAAAATCACAGCACCTTCTCAGCGCTCACCTACTTCCGATTATTCATAGCAGTATTATTGCCACCTTGGTACTACCAGTGGCTAAAGGGGTTGCGTCAGCGCCGTGACCTTCGTAACGTTAAGTTGTTATAGAGACGATAGTTTAGTATATCTTCTGAAGATTCCGTGCGTTTACTGCATTCTCGGGAGAAGGGAGAGGAGAGGCGTTTCTATGAAGTAAAGAGCGCATTCAGTTCACCACATCGATACCAGCAGGCAGGAGTCTGCTATAGCGTTGTACCTCCCCTCAAACTCCACTAAACTCACCATTACATCGTTGAGCCCGGTGCCCACCTCTTAGGTTATTTTTATTAACTATATATATTTGTAAATAGGCTTGTCAACGGAAATAACCTGAGCATAATACCCCCTAGTGCCTTTGTAGAGTTGAAGAATTTAAAATTTATGTAATCTAACTTTATTTTATTTTCATTTTTTTATGTACCTGTATTTTCGCTAGTTTATTCCTCTTTGTATAAAGGCTTTATTTCATCATAAATAGTTTATAATTATATCATTTTGCACAGAAATTTATGTGATAACTACATAACTGAAATGGCCCCGCTTCTTTTCATAAATCTTTCGATTTCCAGAAATTGTCATATTTAATTTCGAATTAATAAATAAAAGAACAGTTTTTATTATATGCGCATTGGAGAAGGAATATTCGATGAACTTTTCTTTGTTGGTTACGGCCTTTTTACAATGATAAATTTACCTTCCTCGAGAATACGTGCACCTTTAAGAATTCTCTTCAAAATTTAAAGTAAAATTAATTTAGTAAATTTTAACTGTAGCTAAAATTCATAGGAGCCCTTACCATAACTGCTTTATAAACTTTGTACGTTAATTCGATATTACTTATCAATGGCCCCTGCTGGCACTATTGGGCGTGAACCACTTTCTAGCATTAGCTACACAACCTTGTCATAGACAAATATAAGGTCAAATTTAAAATAGAAAAACGTAACTTTGTAAAAAGAAATGTAAAGTGGTTGGACAGGGAGCTAACAGAGAAGGGAGTAAAAATGGGGAAAGACCGCATACAAAAATTGCGGATGTCTTTCTCGACAGTAGGCGGAAACGAATAATGCACGGTTAACGTTTCATAGGGGTGTATACGGATTTGTTCAACGCTTGGGAAGCTGTAAACTCTTAAAGCTTCATTTGTAAAACCGTCTCATTGTTTTATGGCATTACTCACCGCAAGTCAACTTTTCTCTTTATTAAAACTAAGGGATGTTAACTTTTCATACTCATGCGGAGCTTGTAAAGTCTCGCCCTGGCGGAATCTCATAACTCGATTCTCTTATAGCTATCGCATAGAATCAAAGTTACTTTAATAACTTGGTATAATACCAGCGGTAGAATGTCAATTGTTGCGGCGCTAGTGACGCTGGTAAATGAGTTAAAGAATTCATCCAATATATTAAAGGTTATTGTCACGAATATTATCTTGGGGTCTCAATTTCTTTATTTCAGGCGACTCCTACAAAATTTTATTGTGGCTAAAATACTTGTCGTTTGATAAAACTAGTTATATACCAAATTATCGCTTTTGATCCTTGTCGTTTCGTCCGCTTCTCCCAGATGATTATACACCATAACCCTTTCAGAATTTGTATACCGGTAAGTTTCGGTTTTGCTTAGTAGACCTCGTCATCTGGCACTTTGAAGTTTTGGGTTTGCATCGTTAATTTTTTTTTTGTCGTTCTTCGTGATCTCGTAATAATGAGCTCGAGTGCGGTAACTACAAATTCTTCTGAAAAATGTCCCACCAGCGTTTCATTTTTTACTGCTGGGCTTGGTGGAGTTGTAGGTTTAAAGTTGTTTGTACGTTTATAATATTGTGCTATAGGTAATTAAGGTTGGATCGCTATTCATCCACTCAATACCATCGCTATCAGAATGAACTTAACCTCTTATTCTCGTATTTTATTTGTAGATTTTATTTTCTTTATAATAAAAAATCACCTTGTGAATTTTGAAATAACGTCTCGTAATATCTATATTCTTTATTTAATCTATTCATATGGCAAATTTAGTTTTAAAAAGCCTAACAAAGATCCTTTTCTCTCTTTAAGCACACTGTAAAAAATGCAAGTAGTTACTTTACAGTAGGTTGACAATTTTCTCTTATAGAAGGAGGGCCCCGTCCAAATCTTGAAAGATTTACTAGCAGTATTATTAAAGAAGAGGGAATTTTTTCACTTTACAGTGGGCTGACAGCTGGTATAACCAGGTTATATGGGCAAAGCAGCTGAAAAAGTTGTTAACAGAGTTAAAAGCTTAATTTAAACCAGGCAAATTTTTTATGCAACTTCTCGCTTTGGTCTCTATGAAGTTTTCCGAGATGCACTCTCTCGCTATCGCGATATTGATTTTGTTAGCCGCGTTATGACTGGTGTAGCTTCCGGAGCTTGCGCTGCTCTCATTTCTTGCCCTGCAGAAGTGTACTGTTCATTGCTGAATCCTTGTGTTTTTTTTACAATCAACCTTGTTCAGCTAGTGCCTTGGTGCGTATGTCAAACGATAGTTCTCTTCCGTCGGGTGATCAACGAAAATATAGACACATAATAGACTGCGCTACGAGGATCTGGCGAGAGGAAGGTTAGTTAATAATGTAGTTAACTTTAAAATGTAACAAGTCTATTACATAGGTGTGCGCACGTTCTGGCGAGGCTCCTTGCCTTTTGTTAATCGGGCGATGGTTGTCGGTGTCTGCCAGGTGGGCACCTACGATCAGTTCCTTTCGATCTTCAGCAAATTGGGTTTTTTTTTGTCGTCTAAAAAGTATACAATAAGATTATAAGAAACATTCTGCAGATATCTTGAACCCCACCTCTGTGGTTGCTTTTTCGGCTATGAGCGCCGGTAATTATATTTTCTACAATTATTTGTTTTTTTACTTTTGTAAGATGTGTGGTTTTATAAGTTTATATTTTTAAAATAAAGGGCTTATCTACTCGACTCTTACAATGCCTTTAGAGACAGCTAAGAACAGAATGGCTTTTCAAAAACCAGACCCGCGTGACGGTAGCAATATTTTATTATCAATAATTTTTTTTTTTAGGAAGTACAAGTGCTAAGCTCTTTCCTGGCGTTATTATTAAAATTAGAAATAAAAATTATATACAGGGGAAGTTGTCTACAAAAAAACGTTTCAAACGATTAAGCGGATCGCTACCACAGAAGGTTCGAACTAGCTTTTATGATATTTACAAGTTCTCATACTCCTGTAAAGGTCCCCTTTCTTTGTGGAACGGATTTTTGCCATACTTCGGGAGGTGCGGAGGTTCTAAAAAGCAATATGATTTTACTTTTGTAATTTAAAGAGAAGATCGATAAATAGGCCATACTATTTTGATGTTCTTAAGTATGGAGTATCTACGAAAACTTTACATCAAATTTTGTATTATTTCAAATTAAGAATTTTAAAAGAATATATCTTGCAAGGATACTTTCTCTGTTTCATGATAGTAGTATGTCAAAAATAAAGTTTAATTAAGGTGTTGCTTTACCTTTCTTATACTAAAAGTTGCTAGGGGTCAGGCCACAATAAGACTTATAGTCTATTATATATTTTCATCGAAGAGAAGTGACCATCAGATTATACGTTATTAAGGTGTTATATTTTAATTAATTAATACTGATATATTGCAGTTGATATGCAAACACGTCTTTACTATTAAATCCTTTTTGTCCTCTTAGTTGAAGAATAGGCAAGTTGACTCTCTGCGAAGACATATATAATAAAAATAAAAATTAAAAAAATAATAATTTTTTTAAGTTAAGATCAAATATTATTACATTTTTGTCGTTATAAATTGTATGCATAGTACAACTGTGGATATGATGCAATAGAAAACTAAATTAAAAAACTACCGCACGATAATAAGTTTTCCATATACACGGATATTAAAGCTACTAATTCAAACGTAAAGAAGATGCTTTAATATTTGGCTCTTAGAGTTATTATAACATTACATGAAGATAAACTATGAAGAAACTGCTAGCTATACCCTATACTTATACATAAAACATTAAGGGAACTAGTCCAAAGCTCCATAAACATATCATTATACCAAGATTATATAAATTACATAATAAAGTAGTTCGAACGATCTAATTTGCTACTTTGTAAAAAATTTCTATGATTTTTTCAAGGTTTAAATCAATGCGAACTATTAAAAAAAAGGGGATAAACATGAATAGTGGTAATAAAGAATCTTAAAGTTTTTTTATCTATCTCTCTTTCTATCTTTTATTTTTCCTTTCATCTTAATTTTGTTTATTCACATAGCTCATGTTTATATGTTTACTACAACCAAGAAGAGAGAAGATAAAGGGAGCACTCGCCCACACTTTTTAAATCGCTGGGTGGCCCTTGGGTAATGAACCCCCCATACATTTAAGACAAATTTAGTGAGCATTAAGAATGTCAAGTCGACCAGATTTTAAATAATTAGCAAAAATGATCTTATTAAGTTAGCTCTATTTTAATTACTAATTTACATATACATAGTAGTTAAGCATTTTTATTGTCTTTCAAGTTGAACCGATGAATCCTGAGACGACGTCAATTCTCAAATAGCTCGTTAATTAAATTATTGACCAGGGAAACAAGAGCTTTTTTTTCAAGTAAAGTTATTCTTTTGGCGACAAAACGTTATTGTCATATTCTAACGATGTTATTTATCGGGTACCTAAGATTCCAGGCGCATATAACCTCCTAAGTTGCACAGCTTTCGCAACTTTAGCAAGGTGGAATAATAAGCTTTCAGATTAGGAAATTACAACTACTCTAGCTACTTTTTAAAATCTACTAGTAAGAATTTTTTTTTGAGACAAGTATAGATCTAAGTTAATTGATCCTCCTAATAATATTGTTTAACAAAATTTATCAATACTCCTTATCCATGTTAGGTTTTCACCACGCCAGAACATTGGACGCTAATCTATCGTACTCAAGAAATCATACTCTTTACGCTAGTGTTATACAACCCTCTTTTAAGCCACTACATATAATAACATTCTCATTAAAGTCATAACTTGTTTGGTCATATATATTTAATTTTAGGGAATGGCAGAACTTAAATATTGAGCATTTTGGCCTTTTAAGCTGTTAAATCATCGACACCATAGAGTGGGGCTCCAATTCCTAGGCAGTGGTTTTCTTGGCGGTTTTCCAACCCCACTAGGCAAAATGGCGGGAGTCCGGGCCAGGTATTTTCCGCTTTTTTCAATCCTTCTGGGCAGTCCTGAGAGTGCAGACCCATCGGGTGGGCACTCATGCACGCTTAGATCAGTTAAGCGGAATATTATTCCCTCTTCTAATTAGGGCCTGGATGCAGTATGTCAGGTAATAATAAATAAGATATGAAGCAGAGATAACTTTATAGAGATTGGGGGAGATTCGCTTACGCTATGAGCTAAAATTAGTGTAAAGTCCCTTTTCCTTTATTTTAAAACTGACATACTAGTTCGAACTTTTAGGAAATTTTAATAAGCTTAACTTCTTCTAAAATGTTTCAAATGAAGAATAATATTACGAGAACTTCGGAGGATTAAGAAACGACGGAGAAATATAGTACTGAACTCCCTCCGTTGAGTTGTTCTGAACCTTTAAAAACTTACATACTTTACATATGTTATTTATGTTATATTTAAACGTAATTATTATTTGATATTTTCTTCAGCAGTTCTCTTTTATACAATGTTTATTTATTTTGGTAAGAAAAGTGAAACCTTATTTTAACTTCGCCATTATCTTCCCCTAATGACTCACTGTCTTTTGTTAAGTGGGGTACATGAAAGGGACAAACATACCACTTTGTCTCTTCTTTCTTTATTTAAATGCACTTACGGGCGTGATCTTACTAACTACCTTTTTATTAATAAACCGCTTTAGCAGAGTGAAACTAATGGCTTCTAACTAGAAATTATATTGGTTTTCTTACTTTTTATTATAGTTAAATATAGACTTTACTACCATCTTGAGTATTTTCCTTAGCGTTGGGTGGTAATCTAGTACTTCTTTCCTAGCATTAACAATCGTATGAGGAATGTGGATAACTATTTAGACTTTCTAACTTTATTGAAGCAATAATAATGTGCTATAACATAATTCATGCTATAGCTCTAACAAAGATTTTTTATAACTATTTTAGTAGAACGACCTAATTAGTAGTTCTAGACTGCTAGTTAGTTTCCTTTTACTAAAGTAGAAAGTGAAAAGTAGGACTCTTCTTAAGGTGAAACAATCTTCTCAATCGAATAGCCAGAAACTAGAAACTAGAAACTCTTAACTAGAAAGAGAATTTTGATCTTTTTGTTATAGGTAACTTGCTATTAAAATGCTAGGGTAATATCCAGCATTGGCTTACAACAGGTGTTAACGTTCTCAGTGGTTGAAAAATACTTCAATTTTTTGTACGACAAAACTGGTAAAAGAGTGTATCTATATGCATAGATATTTTAGAGAAAAAGAATCAGTAATAACAACACGGCCCGCAGTTGGGATTCAGTAGTGCAGCGTACATTAGACTCTTTGCAACGATTAAAGGCGTCTTCCGTGTGTCATAGTAAATGAGCAAATTTAAGAAAACATGCATTCGATAGGATCGTATAATAACTAAACATGTTGCAAAAATATGTACATTTTAGTTTGGGTAAGTGCTTTCTCAATAAATCTATTTCCTTAGGGCTAGCAGTAAGAATTTTAGCATGATCAGTATTACTGGTCAGGGGCTTTTTCAGGAAGCCTAATCTACCCGATAGTAATTTGTCAAGGCTATGGCCTAGAAAAAAAATAATTTGATTAGATATTATTAGTATTAACAATGATTGTAAATCTTAGTTTAAAGTTTAAAACACGTAAATAGGGTAGTTTCGCTCTCCAGGGTACAAGTCAACCAATAACGGATATGCTCTATTGATTGGTAAAAAAATGAAGTTCATATTAGAATTGTTATAAGTCTAGGACTGAATCGCATTATTATCATTTCTTTAAGTGCTAAAAGTACTTGGCTTAGCTGTATCACATACTTTGACTCAATTATATTTAGTATTGGGCTTAGAGCGAATAAATCTACATTTGTTAGGATATTATACCGGTTTCTTACTAAAAAACCATTTTCTTTAATAAATAAGTACATAAGAGGGTATTGGTCCTAACCTCAAACTCATGCGTAAATATTCTTAAATTAAAAACAGCATGGGGTGATCAGCGCAAACAGCAGTGTGTTCCTCTTTCGATCCGTGCCTCACTAACCTTACTAGGTTCCAAGATAACCTTACCTTTTCATACCAGCAATATTTTCTCTCATGCGGTAGTTAAAAATATTAAAAACACTGAAACAGTTTTATCCCCACTAAATCTCTCATGAAAGAGTACTAAAAAATATAATAAGGTAACTTTCTTAGTGTTTAAAATTTGTTCGAACCTCACATGGGAAGCTAGCTATACCGTGACAAATAGTAGATAAACAAGACAGGATTAGATGCTAAATAGTCAAAACAACCTAGCTACCTTCTTTCAAGATACTGATATGTTACCAGACATAATAGTAAACAGTATCAGTAGATCCTTGAATTAGCGCTTTAGCACTAGATTTTAATAATTATAACTCAGTAGATACTGGGGATCACGCCCATCTTTTGTTCGTCACCGTCCCTTATCAACTCAAATAATGACTCTATTTTACACCCTCTTAAGGGTTATTTTGCATGAATAAAGTCTCTAAGTTTATGTATAAACGAGAACAAACGCTAGTTTAGCTATTTTTTGTCTCCCTTTGACCAAGGCGGTGTTGGCTTTGAACGTCATCATTTAAAAATTAATGGCGAAGCGTTTGAAGCGGACCTACTCTCCTGCCTTCTTAACATAGTGGTGTAAGCGTTCGCTAAACTACCTGAGAACTACTATAGACTATAATAAGGTGTAAACGTGCTATGAAAGTTTACGAGAGGAGATTAAAGCTGTGTGAAGATAATTAATTAAAAGTTTATGTTAAATTGGTTAGAACAGTAATTATGCTCTTCTAAACAAAGGGGTCTACGAATATTAAATGCAGTGAGGAGCCACTTAAAAAAAAAAAGCTGCCCGAGTCCTAATAAACGTATCTCTTCGTTAGTTTTTGGAGCGAGTTATACAAGTTTCAGATATTAGAAAATTAAATATGATTCTGGATCGTTTGAAAACTTTAGTATTATAACACGGAGAAAGAAGGGTGGCTACGAGTTTGTAGCCAAGTTTGGTCGTTCCTGCTTAGAAAAGTTTAAAAGGTTTCTAGAATGAAATTTTATGAACACCGGATGACGATAAGTTTACTTAAAAACACGAATAAGACTTTTAAACAAAAAAAAGTCAGATGTAATGACTGATTGTGAAATTCTGAATTTAAACTTGGTTCTTTGTGATCTTTTTTTAACACTATCTTTGTTACAACAGAAATGGGGTTATGTATGTATTTTTTAAAGGTTTATTGATCGAGGGCTCAAGGATGAGAAAGAAATTGGCATCTGCACCGGACCATCTGTTTATGTTAATGTGGTGTTTGTTGTCCTCTTTAAACTACTCTAAATTATCATATGTATTTAACGAGTTTTTATAATTTCAGAAAAGGTCAAGAGATCAAGATTTACATATATGAAATTGACTATTAAATTTGTGGCTACTTACCACTGAGAGTTGGAGTATTTGAATGTTAAAGTCCCGAACGAGAATCAGGATAAATCATTTATATATAAATAATCATGTAGTAACAACCTAGGGAACATAGTTGATTAAAACGGTAGAGCATTAAGCATTTTTAAATTACTTGCTTTTAGCGTTAATATGATACAAGAACTAAGAAGAAGCACAAGATCAAGTATTCCCATGCTGAAAACAAGCGGTAGTCATAATGTTATTGGAGACCGGCATAAGAGTTTTCGCAATTATCGATACATCAGCCTTTCGTTGGCAGTAGTGGACACCCTTGAAATATAATTGTAGTTTTAGTTTGGAATTCGTAAGGTACACTCATCGACCCATAACTTCTTTCGAGTGGGCGACAGGAGCCTTTAATTTTAAGAAAGCCAATGACGCTGTCTTTTTCAACGTTGAGATCGACGTTGAGAAGGTTTTCGGCTTGAGAATGCCAAGCAGGCCTGTCATGCAAGCTGCACGCTTTGACGATCCCGCGCGGCCTTCGAGACGTGCTCGAAGCCAGCTCTTCAGCGTACGAGTGGGCGATAAACTAACGCAGCAGAAATGCCTCTGCCTCACGCGTGGTTGCCCTTAGTAACGCCCATTGTACGACGGTCAATTCATCGTCAAATTACTCATTTTTTTGTCAGTACGTATAACTTTATCTCGATGCGTCTGCTAGCTGTCGTCGTTATTAGAGTTCTCTATTAATGTAGCAAAGAGCAAGACATTCCTAATAACATAGAAACGTCTTGCACTGCTGAAAGTAAAATAAGCCTTCGTGGTAATAAGAAGTCTCGCTTCGAGAGCGACAATACAAATTTGATGCTCCTTCTAACAAACGATTCACAATTTGTGTTTTGTGTGCAGTGATACACCTCACTGCGAACTACGGCTTGAATTTTTGGTCCCAACTTTCATAAGTAATACAGTCGCCCTTTACCTTTACTAATCATATTTTAACTGATGAACTCAACCCATGAGCCTTAGAATGGCGCACAATACAACCATCCGTGTGACGGTTGAAAGCTAAGTAAAAGGATTTATATCAAACTTGAAGGATACATTCTAGTATAATTTTTTCAGGTACTTACGGGCGACTAATTAAAAGCTTGAGTAAATGAAGTTGTTAACTCGATCGAGCATAGAAAACGCCAGTTATTGATAAGGACAAGGGAAAAAAATTAGTTCCAGGGACAAGACATTTTTATTATCAGCCGGTATAGCTGTATAATTTTTATAGGAGTTATTTTTTCTCTTTATTACTTAAATACATCGAATAATAAAGATTGCGCAGCGTTGTTTACTGGATACATTGACTTATTGTTTATGAATTTTTATAAAGGTTAAAAAAAAATAAGTTAAATTTGTTTTTATATATTTATATTTAAATTCGATTTGCAATATTATAAAAAACTTTTCTAAAAATTAAGGTCCCTAACAGTATTTATATACGTTACGAAAAAGAAATGTTTCTCTTTAACTGGTTAAAATGTACAAACCAGATGTGACCCCAAATTTCGCTGTTTTGCGTAAACCGTGCACTGAAACGTAATGACTTAGGATTTAAAAAAGGTAATTAGGTGGGAGCTTAAAAAAAGGTTTAAAGCCTTTAACAAATAGTGATAAAATGTGTAGGAAAGCAACTGTGTTTAGTGCAGAAGCGATCTTCATGACATTATTAAAAATATTAATAAGGATTTGTCTTAATTATTATTCGAACAGTTAAGGTAATAACACGCAAAATAGGATTAAAGTTGACGTAATTTTTTATTATATCAATTATTTGTTTTAACACGATAATTGAGGAAATATTGGACTTTTATATATTCCTCGACGTTTATATATCTACTGGTATGAAATTTATTTAATTTTAACCCAATTTTAAAAACTCGCATCTAGTAAAATAAACTAGCCCCTTTTTATGCAATTGGTACAAAGTTTTAAATGGTGCTTTAATTACTCCTTATGTTCTACTCAGCGCTGATTTTAATCTCAGACGTGCAGTTTACAGGGACTGTGGTGGTACCCCAAAATCAGTCCAATGAAAGGACAAAGCGAACAGGTTTTCATGTATGAAATTTTTTATCTAAACTTAAACACCCCAAAAGAGGCATACAGTATGTCGCGCTATTAAATGGAATTGTGGCTATTATTATTAAAAAAAAAAAAAGTTTTGTAGGTAGTTTTTTTTCTTTTACCACAATTATGTTAGTCACCTAGGCACGCTAACTTGCTCCTTTACAGGCTCTACAAGGCCCCGATGAATTCACTTCCACTAATGTGCAGCAGTACTAATTTTTTTAAGGTATTCAAAAATCTTTTCGGCTATTGTTAGCTCGTAGCCCTTTAGACAACAAGGTAGTTATACTGATTTGGATAAAAAACAATCCACAGCCCCGAGACTAAAAACTTCGCCTTTCGGTAGTCCCAGAGGGCCAACGCCAAAGAAAATTATAAACGTACAAGAAAAAGCTGCAGACGGAAAATAGCACTTCTAAACTTTTTTTATAAAATATAAAAGTGGCCACAACGTCAATAATATAGAAGACCAGTGACCGGCCAATGAAAGAGTTTTCTAGGTAAACCTTCGTTTAACGCTACTACATAATATAAATTTATTTAGTATATTTTCAACTCTAAGCTTTCCAAAAGAGAAAGGGGAAAAAAAAGAAGGAAATTCTCAGGCAATTATTTAAAAAAAAACAATGGAAAAAAGTAACAGGCTAAATTTAAAAGTTGTGTAAGGAAGACCTAAAATTTCACAAAGTCTAATAGTTTTTACGGTGTATAATTTCTTCTAGCAAAGTACACCAACAACTATTTAGCTGCTTATAACAAGGCTGCTGTTTCCATGGACTTATTTTTAAAAAAATATAACGAGGGCATAATAAAAATAGTGGCGGAAATATTTTTTAACTAAAGAGCTAATAAATTTTAATATTACTCCAGAGGTAGTCATAAACTTCTATTAAAAAGGTAAACGTTAAAATAATACGTTCCCTTATTCAGTTTCCGATGAGCCACAGAAATTGGTCTCGCCGCTATTCCACAATATTTGAAAAATAATTAAGTGCTTTAATTTTAAAAACTAACGTTATTAATTCTTAAAATCCTATAACTGGAAAAAAAGTTTATCGTACAAAAAATTCTACAAGTGTGGTTATTCTGTTCCTTTCAAGGTAGAAGTGATAATAACTTAAACTCAAAAGGTAAGTTATAATACCATGTAGTAAGCTAAGAAAATTAGTAAGAGCAGAAATTAACCTATATATTTTGTCAAAAAACCAATGTGTCTACGGACTTTATAAAATAAAGTTGCTTGTGTCAATGTGCAAGTCCACAAAGTTTGAGTTTATATAAACAACTGCAAAACGCTTCCTATAATCTCTTATAAGGTGGTTAAAAGCTAGACATTTATAAACTAATATTCTTTATGATCCACGCCCAGTAAACCCATAAAGGCTAATGAAGAAAAAGAAAAAGAACAGTACAAAAGAGTGGAGTCTGTTATATATATTTCATAGTCCATACATTTCGCTCCAATGCAACAAGCAACAGGTCACTTATGTACAAGAGCAAAAGTAGAATTTTACTGCTTTAATTTTTTACAAGTGACAACTTTCAAACAATCGGAAGTAATTTTTTCGCCTATAATATATTATTAAGCATATGTATAATTTATTTCCTTCCAGTTACCTTCGCTCGTCATGACGACGTCTTCAAGCAAAAAGGTATAAACTTCGTCACAGCACTGATAAGTTCGCAAAGGAGCCTGCAGTAAAGTCGGGGGGTCAATAAAAGAGTTTAAGCAATTAAAAATAAGAAAACTAAAAATAAGCTAACTGGGTAAAATCCGCTTAATGAAAAACTTTATATATACGCTCGTAAAAATTTAATAAATAATAATTTCTATTAAAAATAGTAAGAAAAGAGTGCAGTAATATATATATAAATATTTTTATACCCTATTGGTTTAAAAAAACTTTAGATATATATATATATATTTCCGTTAAAATAATATATAAAACAATATATATTTTAATATAAGAATTCTCTGCTGATCTATAGAATACTTTATAGTATAATATGACCCCAGATAAACGAACAATTCCCAATAATAATGAGGGGTAATAAAAGTATTCATAATTATAAAGTTAAATCCAGTCCACATAGATAAAAACATAAATGCAGCACTATTGATAAATTTAAAAGTGGCGGATCCGCGCAGGACAAAAAGTTAAAAAAACTTACGGAATTACACATAAACGTAAAAATCCTGAGTAAAAGCTACAAAAAATATAGTCATTGGCTTATTATATAGTAGCCCTTTCTAACGGAGGAAGCTTTACTATTATTAGGTTAGTAAGTGTTTTCAAGTAAAAAAAGGGTCTCTATATAAAAATATTTTTTTTAAAAAAAATTAAATTTTATTTTTTTAACCTTGTAGTACTTTTTAAAATTATATACTTATAAAAATTTAAATAATAAACTCAAATAAATTTTATTTAAGGACCTTTATGGTTATTCTGTTTTTTAAGTGAGTAGAAAGGATAGTATTTATAGATTTATCAAACTGAAGAAGAACCTTTTGAAAAATTAATATAACAATATTCTTGAAACCTAACATTAAACTACCCTTTCGGCTAAATCAGTAGATATTTGGTGTGAAGCTACCAACTCATCGAGGCTAATTATAAGGTAAAGTATAAAAGTATATAGGATATATAATGATAAGAGACGTGTTTTGTAGGCACATTCCCACAGTAGTTTCTCTGTACAGTTCATAATAGCGCGAAGACATGCTTAAGCATAAATTCTAGTTAATAGGAGTAGCGCATCCAGCGAAACACTTTTTTTGTCCCCTTCAATCCCAACCAAGCAGTCATGTCGTCAAAAGCGTGTGGGTACTATGTCTTGTGCTCTCCAATGCGACTAAGCCTGATAAAGCTCCAGGTATCCGGACTTAGTTGACTATTGAACATTAGATTATATCAAGAAGCACTTATAAATAAATAAATTTTTTATAAAATAGGTGTATACCATTTTTGTCTGAAACGCACTGGGAAATAGGCCTTGTAGTTATCAAAAATTAATTTTACAAAACAAATGACGCTATCACTCACCTTTTATGCTTTCCAAAGAGGGCAAGTATGCTAAATTATGTAAATTTTAAAATTATTACACGAACATGATAAAACAAAAGCTTTAAATATATAAAGTGATTTGTTTGTGTACGCAGTTTGATACTACTAGTAAACTTGTCTTTTCGTTGTAGCTGTAAGGCTTATCGGGTGTGTCAGAAGGGAATCGAATGCTGAATATATTAAGCATGTTTAAGTAAAATAAAATATTGCCTGAGTAATAGTATTTTTGAGTTCCCATTACTTTTTAAGTTTTAATGCCGAGTACTAATGTTGTAACCATTTCATATCAGTACACCTGCATGGTTATAGCTTAAAATTTTTTTTGTTTCAAAGATGAAGGCATATATTGAAAGGTTACTGTCACATAGTAACTTGTGCATTGCAGTTTTACAACTTTTGAGGCCCATAAAGTAAATTTTACAATTATAAAATATTTAAAGTCTCTGTCCGTCTATGATCAAAGTTAGCTTAAGTTACTTTATTTTATATAGGTAAAAGAAACCTAGCATATTTCATATAGCCCTCTGTTGCTCTTACAACCTTAATCTTTTTTTTTCTTATACTTGAGTAGAATAAGGTAATTAAAGTTGTATTAAAAGAGCCCTTTTGAATTAACAGCTCAAGTCAATGAAAAAAGGTCGTCATGAGTTAATCTTCTTAACTTGAATTTTACCTACAAAGCTTATTAAGGTTCTACTTTGAGTAGAACGCCCCTACTTAAAGAGAGAGACTTTACGAGGTTTATTTTTAAGTCCTATGTGAGAGATTATAGTCTTAGAGAAAAACTAAGCTTCAAATTACAGTCGTTGATTCAACCCCTGCGAATCTGTACATAATTCTACTAAATGAACCAACTATGGTTCGTTCTTCGATGGGTTATTATTGGATTTAGCTGTTTTTGCTCAATACAGTATTGTGCCCTCGTGCTTTTAAAAATACTATATTAGATCCTAGGATGGATTTGCTCTTGAATTAACCCTCATCGCTTAAGGAGACTAGTCTGTTAGTATATTAATATGTATATTTGTTTAAAATTATGATTCAAAACATGATGCTTTATGTATTCCTCAACTGAGATATCTAAATTTATTAATTGTAAATTTGTAAGGAAAAGATAGATATTAATATATTAAAAGAGTCACACAGATACACCTAAACCGGATAAGGGTTGCGATATAACTACTGAAAACTCAAACGCTCAGTTCTCTATCGACCACGTATTAACAGCGAGCTCTTTGTAGAGCCAAGGAAAATATCCAGCCCATAATCGTGAAAAGCAAGGGTGACCAGACATAGTTTCTCAAGGCATTAGAGTAATGCTACCCTTCCCTGTAGACTTTAGCACAACCAATTACTATTAGAAAACGTTATGACTTCCTAAAGATAGGCCATCGAAAATGGTGCTAAGAGAAAATTTTCCAGAACTTGACTGTATTGAAGTTGTTGAAGAGGTCTTACGCCTTTAAGGATTTCACTCATTAAAGTTCGTTTTTATTTAAAAACTATAAAGAACAAAAAGTCCTCCCTTTCGTGGTTTTCATTTGCCAAAATGTGAGGTTTTTATTTACAAGTAACTTGACGTTGCTCAGTTTCGGTAGAAGGGTATAAAAAAAATTCAAACGTTACCGACCAGTGCCACCGTTCTCTGACTTTCGGATAGTGCTGCCTTTTGCACTTCTTCTAATTAATACTTCAAGTGTGCAGACTACCATGAAACCATCAGCTACACGAAGACACCAGATGATCCTCCGAAGCGCGCTAACTGACAAGGTTAGCACACTACTAACTAATGAGGCTGTCTTTATCACCCTAAAAATTCTTACTTGCGCAAACATTGTTCCCCACTTAAATTCGCATAACAGGGTCATACTCCCGGCTAAATAAATGTATCCCTTCAAAGAAAATTATAAAAAAAAATTTCTCAGAAAAAGATTAATCAATCAACAAGTTGGGCTACGCACCTACCGCGAACATATAGACAAAAACAAAAAACTATAAACAAAATTTAATTAAGATCCGAAGGACAATTTCAGCATGGCCAGGCTGTTAAACGATCTTCTTAAATAGTTATAATAACCTCCCATCGCCAGTTTAAATATGTTTGTATGTTATTTTAAATCGTGGACGGTTTTTATGCTAAAAAGAAGAGTTTAAACACTTTCTTAATAGTAAGAAAATTGATGTTGCCTTAATTTGAGATTCACATAGGACCAGAACATTTATTTAATTTTTCCAATTAAGTGCTTCTCCGGGGTCATTAGAGTTATGCGAGAAAAGAAGGGGCGGTCATTATAACTAAAGGCAGCTAGCTCATCCATTTAAAAACTTAGTAAGTTTATTGAAGCGGTGGCTCTTTATGGCAAAGGGGAGATTAGTCATTGTTTTGCATATACTCCCCCCAAATTTTATTTGTGTCATAGAAAGAGAGGAGGAGCGATCAATTTATTGTTCCGTAGAGGGAAGGTATTTACACCTTCAGGGAAAATATAATATGTGGGACAAAAATAGTAACATGTGACAATTAAGCGTACAGACGAGGTATAAGCACGTGATTTATTAGTGTTAACTTCAACAATTTTTTTACTTAAAAAATTGGATATAATTTTTGACCGTAGTAAAGGTGTAATTCTTTGCAGTGATTGGGGATCTTTCGTGGTTTATATTAGGTAAAAAGTCTTAATGGACTTGAACTTTAGAACTACACTTGAAAAGAGGTTTAGTTTTTCCGGATCCTTATAACTAACCACACATATCCCCTAAGGGACTTTAGTTATAAAAAAATTTGAATCGACTCAAACCCGGCCAAGGTAGTAGATCTCTTTTTTGAATACTCTTCCGTACTTTAAGACGTGGTCCTTTTTCATTCTAGCCCTTTGAAATATATACGAAGGTATAATAAATTTAAAGAACTAATTACTGAAGCAATAGAAAGCAATCCATTTAATCTGACTTAATTAGCTACCCTGAAAATTTTGATGTTCCGCTATTAGACTACAGTAATTCAAGCATATTAATTGCTTCGTTACCAGTAGCAACTCTCCAAGTAAAGCACGCTTGGTTGGGGAGATATATATTTCCTAAATTTAGTAGATACCCTTGACCTCCAAAAGCCCGAAGATAAACAAACTCATAACACGCTCGACCAAAAGCTCAAAAATCTTCATTAAATTACGCAAAGGAACTTGAGAATCGAAACTGCACATCCAAATAAATATTTATAAACTTTTTACGTAACAAAACACAAGCAAAAATCTACCCTAAAAATTTTTTTTACTCAAAAGGAAGGACTTAAAGTTTCGAGGTAATTGGAAAACCCCAGATGAGAAAAACTAAATATTGAATAACTTTATCTGATGGGAAGGCCTAATTCAACTAACTTATAAATCTCAAAATGGTCCACGTAAATAGGAATCGCTGTTCAAAGGTAGCAATTGACTATCTTAAGTTTCTTTGAGAAATGCATCATATTAAAATTAAGTCCATAAGATATATTTTACATTGTAAGCAATATAATATTACTAGAGGTAATGGGATTTATCATATATCCATTTTTATAATAAAAGTCTTGTAAAAATAATTTAATTTCAATAAAGTAATGTAATTGGCAATAATTTATCTTCCTTACGGAAACATAAAGCTAACTCTATCAACTATAACTACCTAATCCCAGGCTTTAGTTTCTAAGTTTTTCATACCCTAGGCAAGTCCTAGCCCAATATTTTCCAGTCATTTGTCAGTACTTCAGGCAAGGCATTATACTCAGAAAGAATACATTGGTGGCACTCGTATAATAAAACAACTGGGAAAGGGGATCCAAAATTAGAAGTTTAAGATAGTGCTCTAAAAAGGGTCGCTTATCGCATGAGCTTCCGCTTATGGTGTTATAAATTAATTAATTTTATAATAATAACTTTAGTCTAGAAGACTTGCTAGCGCTCAACGCTAAGCCTTACGATGCAAGTTAATTAGCTCGAACCGTAACACAACCCAAGTCATTATCATTGCGAGCAAGTCTGCTAACGCCCTAGTTACTTCAAAATGAGCACACTTCTAATACAGGTAAGCTAGAACCTGATTCAAGACAAAGGTCAAATCGAAGTTTTTGTCAGTTTTAAGAGCATATCTTTCGACACGTGCGTCTCTAACATAACTCAAGTTTTAGTTTGAATTAGTTAGCTATTGCAACCTACGTCTCTCCTCAGTGCTTGCCCACCCTGAATTCAGAGCCTCAGTTCAGGAAGGTACCATAGTCACGATTCGTTGGGGTTGTGAGTAATTCGCCATTAAGTTCAAGTATCAAATCGGATACTAGACATGTTTGACCTTAGGTTAATATAGAATCCGCCTAGGCAGAGGGCTTGCAGAATTGTTAATGGGCGAACGCCGCAGAATAGTAGAGGGTGACATGACCCGACCAAAGATAAATCTATATTGAACACGCCATCCATCTAAGGATGACAATCTTCCGAGCGCCCTATATCGAAACCATCGGGAACCCTCGAGAAATAACATTCGATCTGAAGCGAATTTTAATATATAGGGCCTTCTGGGACACTTGTACGACATGCACCTGGGAACCTTTAGAGTCTAGTTCTTACGAGCATGAAGAGTTTACATCAATGCTGGACAGCCAAGAAGAAAGCTGCCAATCAAGCCAACCACTAAAGGCTCGATCATCACCGCTG